CTTTTTATATTTTACTTAATCCAAAGATACCTGAGCAACTTCATAAATGTGTGTGTGTGTGTGTGTGTGTGTGTGTGTGTGTGTGTGTGTGTGTGTGTGTGTGAGTGTGAGTGTGTCTTGTAAAACATTGATAATCCAATTATAAAATAGAAATGTGAATGTCAAATACAAAATATAATAAATACAAATAAAATGAAATATATATGGGTCAGTAAATGTGTGTGTGTGTGTGTGTGTGTGTGTGTGTGTGTTACCTTTGAAAGCCTTTCCTGTGGAGTCAGCTTTGGAGTAAGCGTGGAAGAACTGCAGAGAGAGAGAGAGAGACCTTTTCATTTAATTTCAAACCTTTATTTTAATCAGGTGAATCCCATCTGTTTTTCAAGGGAGACCTGCTGGTGACATGGTTACAGGAAGTGGAGAGAGGAAGAGGAGGAAGAAGAGGATGAGGAGGAAGAACCATGTTCGGAGGTTTAGGGGGGGGTCAACCAGTGGCAGATGTGAAGCCTTCGTTGTTCAGACAGAAGGATCTTTGTTTCTCTGAAACTCTCTCTGCTGACTCAGCAGATAGACGATGTGTTTCTGCTGAGCGTGCACAAATCACTCAGCTGGGAAAACACGTTAAATAAATCTTTCATATCTAAAAATGACTTATTAACCCTTTAATAGCCTATGTGCTAATCCAAATCAAACATAACGCATCAGAGTTTAAGACAGAGGTCTCGACCTGTTGGAGGAACACTGTGGACATTCCTGATGTCCTTTCAGATACTAGTTACTTTAAAGTGGACCTATCATGCTATATTATAATAATATAGTGTAGGACCATACCTATATAAGGCATATTTATACTTTTTTTTTTTCAAAATACCAAACAGATCATGCATTTTAGCCATGCCTCATTTCGCTCAATTTGAAAAATGTTAGCTCTGTTTTTGCAAAGGCAGATTCAGTGAGAACAGCACCATCTACAGGCCTGGCATATGTACTACAGCGTCTCCAGCGCTTTCGAACGGCAATGGCCGTGGCTGTCTCCTCCTGATTGGTGGAGTTGGCCCAATAGCCGTAGCGCCACCGTCCTGACGTCAGGACAGTGTTCAAATCTGGATCAGTTTTTATCAGATCCGTTGCAGCCCCTTTTTTAGAGATTTGGGTATGGAGGAAAATAGAGAGGGTTGTGTTTTCTGACACTTGGTGAGTTCCCTGGAACACCGGGGACACATATTCATGTAGAAAAGACGTACAAAAGTGCATTTTGTATGATAGGTCCCCTTTAAGTGTTGCACTAAAAGCTCTCATGTTTACCTAAGGCCTCAGCTGTTTGTCTGAGTCTTTGTTTACCCTCTGCAGCTCTTCTGCTTCAATAAGGGAGTCATGAAGGCAGCGGTGTGTGTGTTCCTGTGTAGATATAATAACAGTTTATACCCTGTGTGTGTGTGTGTGTGTGTGTGTGTGTGTGTGTGTGTGTGTACCTTCACGGTGGGATACGCTCTGATGCCGTAGCCCACGTTAATAAAATAATATATTTGTTGACAACTTCCCACTAGAAAATACACAACTGCAGACGATTTGGAAACAACAACTTATTGCGATTATTTTAGACCGATATTGCAATTGCGATTTAGACGGAGTGATCATTTTTGTAACATTAATTAAAAGTCCACGAACTGTACCAATCTTTTAACGTTTCATTTCATGTTGAGTACATTTAAAGAGGCCCTACTCTACTAACACCACAAGAAGGAGAATAAGGCCTCTTTAAATCAACTGTTAAAGAAAACACACACTACAGACATTATTGACATCTAATGACTGAGTGAGTGAGTGAGTGAGTGAGTGAGTGAGTGAGTGAATGAATGAATGAGTGAGTGAGTGAGTGAGTGAGTGAGTGTGTGTGTGTGTGTGTACCTTCACGGTGGGATACGCTCTGATGCTGTATCCCGCGCACAGCTTCCGGTTCTCCTCGGCAGCGCAGTCGACCGCCGCCAGCGCCACCGCCGGCTTCCACTCTGCATCACACACACAACACAGGAAATACTTTAAAACATAAATATAAACTCATCACAATGATATGGGGGGGGGGGGGGGGGGGGGGGGGGGGGTCTTGTGGTGTCTATGCACTTCAGTATATCAACACACAACAGGGGCTGACCATCATGGTTTCCTAATATTCTTTCTGAGTGATTGATATATTATGGAAGGCGCTACTTAACAGATTACCATAGCTTGTTTCTTTTGGCCCGTGACTAATGACCTCTCAAATGTACCCAGCTGTCCCGTCATGACTTATCGTGTCCTCGTTACACCTCCCTGTGCTTCATTCTCATCTGCATGAGAACAGTGTGAGGAGCTGTTTCTGCTTATCAGAGCGTGATGTAATGACTGTTTGTGTTATAAAAGCTCTCCATGGTCACATCCTGCAGCCCAACGAAATACCACAGAGCCGTGAGGAAGACGAGGAAGATTATATTATTTAATTAAGAGGTGGGCAAAGTTTCTGATGATGGCAGGAGGCCTCACACACTCATGGGGTACACACACATTCTTTTCCCACCACTGGTCTTGCGTAACACACTTCAGTAAACATTCATATTTATTTTCGCTTGTATTTATTTGCATTGCATTTGATGTTGAGGTAATGCAAAAGTAACAGAAAGTAATCAGATTACTTTTACATTGTGATACTCAGATTAGATTACTTGTATACAAGTACCTAGTAATTGTAATGGAATACATTTCTAAAGTAACTCTGACAACCCTGTTTATAAACTGGCTCTCAGAGGTGTAAAGTAACTAAGTACATTTACTAGGTACAATTTTGAGGTACTTGTACTTCATTTGAGTATGTTAACATAATGCTACTGTGTACTTCTACTCCTCTACAGTTCAGAGGTAAATGGTGTAATTTTACTCCACTACATGTATGTAATACCTTTAGTTACTTTACAGATGTGGATGAATGATGTGAAATATAATCAAGTGTTAAATCAGACTTTAGTTCCTCCTGGAGTAAATCCACAAGCTACCCTGCAGTATACAAAGTCATTCAAACTAGCTGCACCTTTACCAGCTTTGAGAACACTTTCATGATCAATCATTATAAAACATATCATATATATTATTCTGAAATGGACCAATCTGCACAATGACTACTTTTACTGTCGCTACTTTCACTATATTTTGATGATAATACTTTTCTACTTTTACTTGAGGAACATTTTGAATGCAGGACTTTTACTGTAACAGAGTATTCCTACACTCTGGTACTTCTACTTTTACTCAAGTACAAGGTCTGAGTACTTCTACTTTTACTCAAGTACAAGATCTGAGTACTTCTACTTTTACTCAAGTACAAGATCTGAGTACTTCTACTTTTACTCAAGTACAAGACCTGAGTATTTCTACCTCTGTAAACACAGTACTTTTACCTCAGTAAAGACAGTACTTCTACTTCAGTAAAGACAGTTCTTCTACTTCAGTAAAGACAGTACCTTTACTTCAGTAAAGACAGTACTTCTACTTCAGTAAAGACAGTACTTCTACTTCAGTAAAGACAGTACTTCTACTTCAGTAAAGACAGTTCTTCTACTTCAGTAAAGACAGTACCTTTACTTCAGTAAAGACAGTACTTCTACTTCAGTAAAGACAGTACTTCTACTTCAGTAAAGACAGTACTTCAGTAAAGACAGTACTTCTACTTCAGTAAAGACAGTAGTAAAGACAGTACTTTTACTTCAGTAAAGACAGTACTTCTACTTCAGTAAAGACAGTTCTTCTACTTCAGTAAAGACAGTAGTAAAGACAGTACTTCTACCTCAGTAAAGACAGTACTTCTACTTCAGTAAAGACAGTACTTCTACTTCAGTAAAGACAGTACAGACAGTACTTCTACCTCAGTAAAGACAGTACTTCTACTTCAGTAAAGACAGTACAGACAGTACTTCTACTTCAGTAAAGACAGTAGTAAAGACAGTACTTCTACTTCAGTAAAGACAGTACTTCTACTTCAGTAAAGACAGTACTTCAGTAAAGACAGTACTTCTACTTCAGTAAAGACAGTTCTTCTACTTCAGTAAAGACAGTACCTTTACTTCAGTAAAGACAGTACTTCTACTTCAGTAAAGACAGTACTTCTACTTCAGTAAAGACAGTACTTCAGTAAAGACACTTCTACCTCAGTAAAGACAGTACTTCTACCTCAGTAAAGACAGTACTTCAGTAAAGACAGTACTTCTACTTCAGTAAAGACAGTACTTCAGTAAAGACAGTACTTCTACTTCAGTAAAGACAGTAGTAAAGACAGTACTTTTACTTCAGTAAAGACAGTACTTCTACTTCAGTAAAGACAGTTATTCTACTTCAGTAAAGACAGTAGTAAAGACAGTACTTCTACCTCAGTAAAGACAGTAGTAAAGACAGTACTTTTACTTCAGTAAAGACAGTACTTCTACTTCAGTAAAGACAGTACTTCAGTAAAGACAGTACTTCTACTTCAGTAAAGACAGTAGTAAAGACAGTACTTTTACTTCAGTAAAGACAGTACTTCTACTTCAGTAAAGACAGTACTTCTACTTCAGTAAAGACAGTACTTCAGTAAAGACAGTACTTCTACTTCAGTAAAGACAGTAGTAAAGACAGTACTTTTACTTCAGTAAAGACAGTACTTCTACTTCAGTAAAGACAGTTCTTCTACTTCAGTAAAGACAGTAGTAAAGACAGTACTTCTACTTCAGTAAAGACAGTACAGACAGTACTTCTACCTCAGTAAAGACAGTACTTCTACTTCAGTAAAGACAGTACTTTACTTCAGTAAAGACAGTAGTAAAGACAGTACTTCTACTTCAGTAAAGACAGTACAGACAGTACTTCTACTTCAGTAAAGACAGCACAGACAGTACTTCTACTTCAGTAAAGACAGTACTTCTACTTCAGTAAAGACAGTAGTAAAGACAGTACTTCTACTTCAGTAAAGACAGTACAGACAGTACTTCTACCTCAGTAAAGACAGTACTTCTACTTCAGTAAAGACAGTACTTTTACTTCAGTAAAGACAGTAGTAAAGACAGTACTTCTACTTCAGTAAAGACAGTACAGACAGTACTTCTACTTCAGTAAAGACAGCACAGACAGTACTTCTACTTCAGTAAAGACAGTAGTAAAGACAGTACTTCTACCTCAGTAAAGACAGTACAGACAGTACTTGAACTTCAGTAAACACAGTACTTGTTCCTCCACTCTACGTGACTCCCAGCAGCTCCTCACCTCTGATGTCCCAAGATCTGAGTATTTGTACTTTTACTCAAGATCTGAGTACTTCTACTTATATCTGAGTACTTCAGTACTGACAGTACTTCCTCCAACTCTCCGTGCCTCCCGCAGCTCCTCACCTCTGATGTCCCTCGCCAGGCTCCGGTACACCGGGGAGAAGGCGATGCAGTGGCCGCACCATGACGCGTAGAACTCGGTCAGCACGGCGGCGGTAGAGTTCACCAGAACCGGCTCCACGTTCTGCGGACTGAGCACGAAGATCTGGTCCGAGGGGGTGTAGAGTCCCGCGTGCACCGGGGAGCAGAGCACGAGCAGGCAGCAGCACCACCGGGAGATCTGGACCATCTCTCCGGGGAACCGGGACGTGGCACGGCCGCCAAGCCGCGCCATCTTCCCGTTAGAAGCTGTAGGAAACCGGGGGAGAAGTGTTCACCTCCTCCGTGTCACAGAACCACAGAAACACACACACGGTAACACACACAGACAGAAACAGAGACACACAACTTTTTTTGTTTTTTCTGAGACTGTTTCCCTTTTCGGTGACCCTGCTGAATGGGTCCTCCCCCTTTAACAACACACACCTCCTTTATTAGAGCACGAGCACGAGCACGAGCACGAGCACACACACACACACACACACACACACACACACACACACACACACACACACACAGCAAAGCACATATATCGACAAAGCAAGTCAATATAAAAAAAACAGTAAATAAAGGGGAAAAAAGTTACTTATCTGTTTCTTTACTTAAAATAAAATAAAAACGAATAATAAATTAATGTTATTTACATGCAACATCCTAGCTATTTTTATTTGTATTTATTTTATATTATATGTTTATTCCTGTATTTGTATGCGCCTAGCTTTTAGCTTCTTAAAAATAAATCTTAACATTCATGTTGTTTTGTAAGAAAATAGCAATTACAAGTATTTTCGATGTCTTGTCTGTTTTAGATTTATTTCTGCCTCGTTTGTATTCACCTGATTATACCATGTTTGTACAAGAAAAATAAATATAACAAATAAGAATTGTACATAATTGTGAATATCTGAATGCCCGGTTAAAGTAGTATATATTAAATAATAATAATACATAACTAATTGTAGTTTATTGAGATTATCTGAATGTTGTGTGTACATGTTAATATGAATAAAACCCCTCCAAACTAAAAGCAGAATGAAGTCAGCGTTCCTTTAGAAACAATGAAAGCTTTATTTACAAGTTCATTTAGTTACCAAATATATAATTTGCACATATTTGCAAAGTAAACAGTGTGTATCTTACAACAGGTTACAGTAACAGACAGAATATTTACACCCATCAAAGAATTGTACAAGTCTTCAAGTGCACTTCGCGCGCACTCGCAACACATTATTATAAATATTAATTAACATTTCATAACAGGAAATGACCGGGGGTTCATTTGATAATCAAAGAATTTGTGCCTTTTTTTTTTTTTTAGATTAAACTCCATTAAAGGGTTTTTTCTGAATCTACAGCAGAAGTGTGATCTGATTGGTCCACACAAACAGGACCGAGTACTGCATAGATACACTGAGACCCCCCCCCCCCCCATTTACAATCAGTACAACAGGACCATCCTGCGGGGGGCTGGTATTAAAGCGTTTGAGGAACATACAGACGGAGAGCTCGCTGTCACGTGGTTTTGGTCTTTTTCTACATTATAGTCTGTTCACCAGCTCAGAGGCCAGAACATGTCGAGTACCCCAACGCTTTATGATAGAAATGTATAGAATGGGTCACAGTACATAGAAACTGCCGGATGCCAACTTGTGTATGTTGGGAAGTTTGCATAGGTTGTGTTAATAAGCATTAGTTACAATGAAAGCATATGTGGACAATAGTTTGAACAAGTTACGAGTGGTTTTGGGGGATGTTGAGAATGTTTTGAAGTCCATTTCTGACATTTTCAGGATTAAAAAATTGCAGTTTTAACCAGATTACGCCAATATTTGTACTTTCTGAGGAATGAATTTGATACATTCTGGGTCGATTTGGAAGATTTAGGGGACTCTGGATCATCTGGATGTGATAATACTCATCGTGTGCTCTCTATATCCATGTTGATGGTAGTCAACTCACAGAAAGCACAAATATGGATACTTTCTAGTTAAAACTGCAATTTCTGATCCTGAAAATGTCAGAAATGGACTCGGCATCCTCAATAACCTCCAAAACAACTCAAACATTTTCCAAATCGGCCCTTTCTTAAATAAAGTCCGCATTAATGCTAATTAACATAACTTGTGCTAATTGTGCAAACATCTCAACATATGCAGGTTAGCATCCGGCAGTTTCTGTGTGCTGGGGACCCTACTATACATTTCTAACATAAAACTTTGGGGTCTTCAACATCTCCAGGTTCACTAAGCTGGGAACTAGACGATGATATCATTTACAGTTTGAACAAACACTTCAGTAACTCTTAAAACATCGACGGTAGAAAAAGACAGGTTAAGGTCACTTAAGCAGCAGGACTAAAATAAGCCCTTGGACTCAAAGTGTGTGTGTGTGTGTGTGTGTGTGTGTGTGTGTGTGTGTGTGTGTGCGTGTCAACTATCTCGTTCCTGATACAGTTAAAGTCAACACAATGACTCAACTGTGTCTATATGCACAAAAGCCAGGGAGACGTGGCCCAGTGAGAGTGAGTCAGCGATTTAGTTAGAAATAGGAAGTTTGATATAAGGCTGAAACTGAGAAGTTGGCAAACCGGTGAGAAGGGGAGAATACATTCAAAGGAAAACAGGTCCATAGTTTGTACTAAATCCAAACGAGAGGCACTTCATCTGAAGGTAGAGACGTTCTGACGGCTGGTCGATGCACGAAACCATGTTCTCTGGGCAGATGTTCACCAGAGCGACTGATGAGGAAACACAGAGGTTTTTTATCAGGTAAACTGGAGGATGAGTAAAGCTCAAATCCAGCATTTGAGATCGGTCCTGTGATGCCATTCTAAAAAGATACGTCGGTATTTGTGTCCCACTTTCGTATTTGGTGTTTTACATACACAAAACGCAGAATACGTATATTACATTATATATCAGCTAAAGTATATGTTATGTAATGTAATATACTTAGTTTTCTGCATTTAAAATGACTTGATTTTTGGAAGTGTTTGCCCCTAACGCTAACACTTTTGTAATTATAATAAAAAGGCAAATAATTACAGAGGCCCTATTTCTGCTCTGATTGGTTAACTGGACCGGCTTTGTTGTGATTGGTCAACCTGCTTAAGAGATGTCCCGCCCCTTAGCGCTAGCCAATAGGAGTGCGAGTGTTACGAAGGGATGTGTTCAGGAAACCCCCAAAAGGGAGAATAGGGCCTCTTTAAACAACCTTTTTTTCATTTGGCTTCCTGTACGAGGCGTTTTCTAGAACAGGTGGATATGTAAACCACAGAACTATTTAAACAGCTTCCTCCCCTCTTCTATCAGGTGTTCTTTAAACATCCTATTTCATATATTGCTGTGTTCACATTCACGTTTGTGCTTTTTTTACAATTTCATTAGATACTGTTGTCAAGATCATTCACAATTCATCCTGAATCCTCCAATCGAACCAATAAATAAAGTAACTATGGAGGAAAAGCGTTGAATACCGTGTGTTTGAGATCTCCTGCAGCACATTGGATTTCAAATGTATAAAGTGCTGACAATCTTTTTTTTTTATAAATAGCCGAATAAGTCCACGCCAAAATGAGGAGAAACACGTCCAATTAAGCATTTTTTAGTACCTCAAAACCAGTAAAAAGTCTCAAACAATCGAGAAGTAAAGACGGCTGTAACGTCCGAGTCTTATAGAGATCATATTTTAATTTAATTGACTCTTTAATAAAAAGATTCTGGATGTAAAAACCCTGTAAATCACAGTTTCAACTCGTCAAGGAGTACACCGTATATTCTCTGCTACTCTATTACAATTTGTGAATCCATATATACAGTATTTATATATATTTATATTCAACACAACCTACTTTAGTTCCAGGTGGTTTTATATCACCGTCCCCTTTGGAACCCCTTTGGAACCCCTTTGGAACGGTCCGTTTAGCAGCATTGATGGACGTTACATATACGGCGTACAAATGGTACAGTCCATCAAAATGGTACAGTCCATCAAATGGTACAGTCCATCAAATGGTACAGTCCATCAAATGGTACAGTCCATCAAAATGGTACAGTCCATCCAAAATGGTACAGTCCATCAAAATGGTACAGTCCATCCAAAATGGTAAAGTCCATCAAAATGGTACAGTCCATCAATTGGTACAGTCCATCAATTGGTACAGTCCATCAGAAACATTTTCTTATTCTCCAGCCGGCGCTCGAAAAAAGGAGGCGAGACGAAGTGTGTGTTCAGGTTACAGAAGTGTGTGTGTGTGTGTGTGTGTGTTATAGATTATAAAAAAAAGTTAGCTGAAGGAAAATCCAGACGTTTATCTGAGAGGTAGCGAGGGGTCGAAGGCATCCGAGGGTCGCTGTTGGCACGTCAGCTGGTGGAAGACGGGAAGATGGCGGGAAACAGAAAGAGGTTGTAGTTCTTTAAATCAGTCAGGAAGAGGATGGATGTTGTAGTTCTTAGTCTGTCAGGAGAGGGGTGGGGGTTGTAGTTCTTAGTCTGTCAGGAGAGGGGTGGAGCTTGTAGTTCTTAGTCTGTCAGGAGAGGGGTGGAGCTTGTAGTTCTTAGTCTGTCAGGAGAGGGATGGAGCTTGTAGTTCTTAGTCTGTCAGGAGGAAGATGGAGGTTGTAGTTCTTAGTCTGTCAGGAGAGGGATGGAGCTTGTAGTTCTTAGTCTGTCAGGAGAGGGATGGGGCTTGTAGTTCTTAGTCTGTCAGGAGGAAGATGGAGCTTGTAGTTCTTAGTCTGTCAGGAGGAAGATGGAGGTTGTAGTTCTTAGTCTGTCAGGAGAGGGATGGAGCTTGTAGTTCTTAGTCTGTCAGGAGAGGGGTGGGGCTTGTAGTTCTTAGTCTGTCAGGAGAGGGGTGGGGTTGTAGTTCTTAGTCTGTCAGGAGAGGGGTGGAGCTTGTAGTTCTTAGTCTGTCAGGAGAGGGATGGAGCTTGTAGTTCTTAGTCTGTCAGGAGAGGGGTGGGGCTTGTAGTTCTTAGTCTGTCAGGAGAGGGGTGGAGCTTGTAGTTCTTAGTCTGTCAGGAGAGGGATGGAGCTTGTAGTTCTTAGTCTGTCAGGAGAGGGATGGAGCTTGTAGTTCTTAGTCTGTCAGGAGAGGGGTGGGGTTGTAGTTCTTAGTCTGTCAGGAGGAAGATGGAGCTTGTAGTTCTTAGTCTGTCAGGAGAGGGATGGAGCTTGTAGTTCTTAGTCTGTCAGGAGGAAGATGGAGCTTGTAGTTTTGGGTTGTTTTCTCTCTTGGCCCTCTTGTCGTAGATGAGCGTCAGCGTGTTGGCGGTGTCTTTCAGCAGAGCGTCAAAGATGCTGTCGGCCAGCTGCATCTTCACAAACAGCTCGTCTTCGTCGTAGTTCACCCACTGAGCCTCCTCCTCGTGGAGCTCCTGGACCTGGAGGACACACAGGATTTGTTATATTTAATAAAGTAATAAAGAAAGTCTATATACAATTGAAATCCATCTCAAATGCAGGAACAGAGCCACTTCTTCCTCAGAGGATAAAGAAGTTCTGCTGACAGAACACAGCTCACAGAAACACTATATATTAGAGAGAATATCCAACTGGTCCCACCCTTACATTCTCTGAGGCCACATTTACACGAGAACGAAACGGCTTGTATCTGCATAGTTTCTCATGCGTATAGCCCTATTATTTACACGAGGCCGTAACAAACGGACCCCACAAACGATAACGGGTCCCAAGGTGGATAGATTTGCAAACTAAACTCTCTGGGGGGTCAACCGAGTCCGTGTAATCACCTCTATACGAATATTTCCTGAAAAAATAACAATAACCCGCCTCTCCCCGCCTCTGCTGCTCACTGCTGTAGCATGGCCAGTAGCTACTGTCAGTAGCTACTGCTAGTGCTACTGCTAGTGCTACTGCTACTGACCATGCTACTGCTACTGACCATGCTACAGATGTTAGTGCAAAATCTACAGCTCCTCTACCACAACCATCAGCAACAAGTGGACATGGAGAATTACGGCATATGTACTACAGCGTTTCCAGCGGTCTCGTTTGAACAGACACGTTAAATGAAACGAATGCATGTGAACAGAAGACTTTTTTGAAAACGCATACTGTGCATAAACGCAAACGTTCCCGTGTAAAAGCAGCCTGAGGCATCATCTAAACATCCCCACCATTAAAACATTAAACCCTGCAGTCCTTTAATCATTTGCAAATCCACCTTTTGCCCTTCCTGAAATGTCAATCCTAAACAACAACAATCTCTGTTAAACAAATATTGGACTAAAACTACTTAACCAAGTAAAAGGCAATCACAGTATAAAACATAATCTATATATATGATTTAAATGATTATATGAACATGATTGGAAGTCGAAATGTTAGATTTTAGCAGCCAAATAGGGCTCATGATAAAGAAGTGGGAACCGATGTTTGTGCAGTTTGACACATGGCCACACACTGAGCAGCGGCGAGCCGTCAGCGCCTGAGAAAGAAAGAAATCCTTAGAATCTGCCTGTTCAGTTTCTGTTTGAATGTGAAGGGTTAAATGAAAGAAGCTCGTCTCTGTGAGGTGAAGACAGGAGCTGTTGGTGGTCCTGCTGTGAATTCACAGAGGGCCCGCTATAGTAACTGAACGAGAGAGTAATGTCAAATGACAGTACAATTGACCAATCATATCTTCCCTCTAAATGGGTGGGCTTTATTATCGCGGACTTTATGACAAGTTCCGCCCACTGTGAAGTTTGTGCATGTGTTATAATAACAACGGGTCAAGCTAGGCGGAAGTAGCTAATTAGCATAAGTGTGTTCATGTTACAATGATACACTGGAGTGGCAAAGGATCAGCTGCATGACCCGCCATCAAGTGCTTCATCCAAAAGGACAGCAGGATGGACTTTGTGTTTCAGTGATTTGATCATCAAAGGTAGGTCTACGTCATTTTCAATGTGGGCCGCCGTGCCGACTCAATTCATTTGTAATTGTTACTTGGCTGTGGGTGCCCTGTCCTGATAGGTGTTTATATAAATGGTGTTGTTTTGTGTGGTAGAGGGTCGCTGTCATTGATGCGTTTTGCACCCCGGGCCACTGTTTTGATATTCCACTGAAGCATACGCTGTGACGTAATATAGTATAAAAGTCACGGCTCGCCACTGACACTGAGGTAAAGACTAGCTATCCGAGCTAAGGTATTGTAAAAGAAGATTTAATAAGGAATACATGAGCATGATCTGGAGTGGGTTAAACACCTGCTGTCCATCTGTTCTGCTGACGTAAAGATGTAACCCTTGATATGAAACAAAACAGTTTAATGGTGAGACGTACCAGAATGTGATCGACCCTGTCTCGCTTCTTTTTGCCAAACTTGAGCATCTTCTGCCAGTCGGTCTTCAGGCTGTGCTCTTTACTCAGACCGTACACTTTCAGGACCTCTGCTGAGATGAACTCCTGGAATAAAAACACACAATGTCATCAGGTGTGTGAAAGGTGTTACTGCATTTACATGTATATCAATACTATCAAGACTTTATGACTGCAATCCAGGACATTTGTATAAAACAGAGGTGAAGTATCTCTCGTGCAGCTTGGTAACACCTCCAGTTAGTTTGAAGATAACTTTAAATAGTCAGGGTGTTTCTGAGTCTCTCCATGTTGGTGTTGGGTGTCCCACCTGGATCTTGTTGAGGTCTCCTGAGGTTTTGACTCTGTGGAAGAAGGAGGATCTGACTCTCCGTGGTTTGACCCACTGAGGCTGATCGGAGCTTGGTTCCTCGTTGTAAATCTCCTGAAGCATCTCCCACGTCAGGTCGAACACCGCCTGTGGAGGACAGAGAGAAAAGGGTGTTTAAATATGTAATATAATATAAACGAAAATGAAAATGAATTATTATTAATAATAACGTGTGCATAGACATTTTTCAGGGGCGGACTAGCCATCTGTAGAATTTCCCCGCAGCGAGGCTCCCCCTGTTGACAATCCACTAGCGCAGTGTTTCTCAAACCTTTTCATACCAATGACACTTAACCAATAAAAACGCTCACAGACCACCTGACTCCACAGATATCCAAAAACAATAGGCCTGCTCACCACTCCAACAGTACATAACAGCCTAATAATGACAGCTTAACCTTCTCTACATCGCCTCGTTCACACAATAAATCAACAATACAAATACCACTACAGATTATTTAAGCATTTAGTTCAAATGCGATTTAAAATGCTCTCAGGTTTTACACCTCTTATGAAATGGAGACTACATTTATTACGGAGTTTATGTCCGAGCAAACAGACTCACAGATCTTTGGTTACTGAGAGATATGCAAAATACACCGCATGTTCAAGGTTCAAGGTTCAAGGTTCTTTATTTGTCAAACGAACATAGCTACAGTGTAGTAGTGTCACAGGCTTCTCCAGCAGTGCAACTCAAAACACAGATAAGCAGAAGAATATAGTGCAAGTAAATAGTAAATATAAGAAGAAAAATGTTTAAAAAAGTGAAATAGTGCAATAAGAGTCTATGCAAGTCATTGAAATATGATATATTAGGTAAATAGATAAGTATTTTTTAAGTAGTAGCCAGATGAATATTGTGGATGTTGTTTCAACAGTTCAGGTGTTTAACAGTCTTATTGCCTGTGGGATGAAACTGTCCCTGAGTCTGGTGGTTTTAGTACGACACAAACCTCCGCTGTGGATTTTCAAAACAAAATACAGTAAAACTATGGTCGCAGGCCCAAGTGTAACTCTCTGAGGCCTGCATGGTCAGCCCCAACAACAGCCTCTGATCATCAACAGACTTCATGCAATGCTTCATCGGATATTAGATAATAATCTCTATCTCACTCCTAACATCTAAATCTACTTCCAGCATGGATACATGTTCATACATCCATTGTTTGTTCTATATGCTTCTTGAAATCCTAAAAAACACATCGTTTTTCTAGAACAGATTACAAATCGCCAGAAAATGGTACAAACAAGTGACAACATGTTTGACGAAGGTGTTGAGCTGGGCTATACCATGCAATCGAAAGTGAAATTTAAGCTCGCTCCATTGCAGAGATATTCCCGCGAGAGTGCGGAAAACCTAAATTAATTCACTAGCGCCCCCCCCCCGTTGACAGCACTGTTATTTTGGGGGGTCGCGGGCTGAAAGGTTTGGGAACCCCTGGTGTACTGTATACTGTAAAGCACTTTGTACATTCGTTTTGTGAAGGGTGCTATATAAATACAGTTTGACTTACTTACTTATCAGAAATGTATTTTGGGCCTAAACCATTCAATGCTTTATCAACCAGTATCTTTGACCTTTAAACCACTTTTCTAGGCTGTTTAAATATGTCATATCAATCCAACTGAGCCTGAAGCTGCAGGAGACACTCAGGTTGAGTTATCCCATGTTAGGGGAGCATTAAGAGTTAGATTCTTGTCAAAATGTGAGGAGTATTTACTTTCTTAAAGGTGTTTTTTGCGTTTAAAGCAAAGCGTTTGACAACAGAGGAAACATCCAGGACGAGAGTCTGAAGTGTGTCGGCAGCAGAGGGACATGTCTGCTATAGTTGGTAGATATTCTTAAAATATCAACGTGCTAATCAGAGAGGAATCTGCTGGATAATGGAAACTGGTCTGGCCTTCGACCTCAGAGTAAGAGCTGCAGTTCAGCTTTTTCCACTGCATGTCTCTCTGCTGCTTCACTCACTCGTTAAGTTTTCCTTTAAGAATAGTATCTGGTAGTTTTGTTTGGGAGCATCTCAGTAGAGACTTTAATAGAAGCCAGGCGTATATATTGATCACGAGTGCAACATTCTGAGACATTCAATAGCCAAGTAGGCCCTATTCTGCTTCCTGTAGTGTGTTCTATCGTCCAGAGGAAGTTTTCTCTCCCACAGATTTGTACCAGTAGTCCAGGAAGCTTGTGTTACTTTTCTTTAAGCTTACTGATTGGGGTATACCGTATTTTTCCTAGAAAAGAATCTGAAAAAGAGGGTCGCACCAAACGAGTGTTTCCCCAAGCGAGACACCGTCTTAAGGTCCTCACACCAAACTTACACCAAAGAACACGTCTCTGCGTCTTGGCCATGTGTCACACTGGAACACACCGCAAAGACTTCAGTCGACGGCCAAGAAGCACGTACGAACTGCGCATGCGTGAGTGGCAATAACTCTCCTTACCAGCAGGCGGCGGTAGTGTGTATTCGTCATTCAAAAGAGGCAACAACCGGAAGACAGACTGCGTGATAACCGAGAGAAGAAGAACAGACTGCGTGATATAAACAAACAACAAATAGCGTGTGCGTTCCATGTTCACTCTACAGCGAGAAGCTCACGGGGCTTTCCTGAGCTGGAGTTAAATGTCCCTCATTTCCGTTTCGCTTCTCATGCACGAGATGTGGGAGGAGACGAAGCTGAATGAGGAGACGTCTGATGTGACGAATAGATGGCACATTTGAGCATAATGTGTGTTATCATTATTTTCATTCTAAAAACAAGATTTGGTCTTCAAAAAGGTATTTTTCCAAAAATGAGTCTTGAAAAAGAGGGGTCGTCTTATATTGGGGTCGTCACGGTGATACACATTGCATTTCTCTGGGGCTAAATAGGATTGTTTTTGTGAGTTCCTGTTCTCACCTTTCTGTAGCTGTGGATGCAGACTGCCTCCTGCTCCTGGCTGCCGGCCTCCTTCCTCCCCAGATACTCCTGCGAGGGTTGGGGGGTGGGCATCTGAGCGAGGCTCCGTGCCCCCCCCTCCCTCCCCAGGCCGAAGCTCTCCCAGATCTCTTGCGTGGCGACGTGCACCATCTTCTCCACCTGATTCAAGATGCAAAGGTTTTAACGTCATATGCTCATAAGCCACAGTGGAGAAATGGAAATCTTAAAAGAATTGTAATAATAGTGCAAAAAGTAAATATACATGTAAATAGAATATGAAACTAAATAATGTACATTAAAGGTCCCCTATTATACTGTTTTTCATCAATTATCAACAGGTCCTCAGATATATACAGAACCTGAAACTTTCAGAGTCTCTTACACAGAGGGGGACACAGTGGATGAATGAAGAAGACATGAAGAAGAGGGACACATGTTGATGAAGAAGAGAACATGAAGAAGAGTGGACACATGGTGATGAAGAAGAGACATTGAAGAGAGGGGACACATGTTGATGTAAGAAGAGACATGAAGAAGAGGGGACAACATGGTTGATGTAGAAGAGACTGAAGAAGAGGGGGACATCATGTTGATGTAAGAAGGAGACCATGAAGAAGAGGGGTACACAATGTTGATGTAAGAAGAGACATGGAAGAAGAGGGGACACCTGTTGATGAGAGTAGAAGAGGACATTGCGAGATAGGAGGGGACACATGTTGATGTAGAAGAGACATGAAGAAGAGGGGACACATGTTGATGTAGAAGAGACATGAAGAGAGGGGACACATGTGATGTAGAAGAGACATGGAGAAGAGGGGACACATGTTGATGAAGAAGAGACATGAGAAGAGGGGACACATGTTGATGTAGAAGAGACATGGAGAAGAGGGGACACATTTTGATGAAGAAGAGACATGAAGAAGAGGGACACATGTGATGTAGAAGAGACATGAAGAATGAGGGGACACATGTTGATGTAGAAGAGACATGGAGAAGAGGGGACACATGTTGATGAAGAAGAGACATGAAGAAGAGGGGACACATGTTGATGTAGAAGAGACATGGAGAAGAGGGGACACATGTTGATGAAGAAGAGACATGAAGAAGAGGGGACACATGGTGATGAAGAAGAGACATGAAGAAGAGGGGACACATGGTGATGAAGAAGAGACATGAAGAAGAGGGGACACAATGGTGATGTAAGAAGAGACATGAAGAAGAGGGGACACATGTGATGTAGAAGAGACATGAAGAAGAGGGGACACAATGTTGATGAAGAAGAGACATGAAGAAAGAGGGAACACATGTTGATGTAGAAGAGACATGAGAAGAGGGGACACATGTTGATGTAGAAGAGACATGAAGAAAGAGGGGACACATGGTTGATGAAGAAGAGACATGAAGAAGAGGGGACACATGTTGATGAAGAAGAAGACATGAAGAAGGAGGGGACACATGTTGATGTAGAAGAGACATGGAGAAGAGGGGACACATGTTGATGAGAAGAGACATGAAGAAGAGGGACACAGTGTTGATGTAGAAGAGACATGAAGAAGAGGGGACACATGTTGATGTAGAAGAGACATGAAGAAGAGGGGACACATGTTGATGAAGAAGAGACATGAAGAAGAGGGGACACATGTTGATGTAGAAGAGACATGAAGAAGAGGGGACACATGTTGATGTAGAAGAGACATGAAGAAGAGGGGACACATGTTGATGTAGAAGAGACATGAAGAAGAGGGGACACATGTTGATGTAGAAGAGACATGAAGAAGAGGGGACACATGTTGATGTAGAAGAGACATGAAGAAGAGGGGACACATGTTGATGTAGAAGAGACATGAAGAAGAGGGGACACATGTTGATGTAGAAGAGACATGAAGAAGAGGGGACACATGTTGATGTAGAAGAGACATGAAGAAGAGGGGACACATGTTGATGTAGAAGAGACATGAAGAAGAGGGGACACATGTTGATGTAGAAGAGACATGAAGAAGAGGGGACACATGTTGATGTAAGAAGAGACATGAAGAAGAGGGGACACATGTTGATGTAGAAGAGACATGAAGAAGAGGGGGACACATGTTTGATGTAGAAGAGACATGAAGAAGAGGGGACACATGTTGATGTAGAAGAGACATGAAGAAGAGGGGACACATGTTGATGTAGAAGAGACATGAAGAAGAGGGGGACACATGTTGATGTAGAAGAGACATGAAGAAGAGGGGACACATGTTGATGTAGAAGAGACATGAAGAAGAGGGGACACATGTTGATGTAGAAGAGACATGAAGAAGAGGGGACACATGTGATGTAGAAGAGACATGAAGAAGAGGGGACAACTGGTGATGTAGAAGAGACATGAAGAAGAGGGACAGCATGTTGATGTAGAAGAGACATGAAGAAGAGGGGACACATGTTGATGTAGAAGAGACATGAAGAGAAGAGGGGACAATGTTGATGTAAGAAGAGGACATGAAGAAGAGGGGGACACATGTTGATGTAGAAGAGACATGAAGAAGAGGGGACACATGTTGATGTAGAAGAGACATGAAGAAGAGGGGACACATGTTGATGTAGAAGAGACATGAAGAAGAGGGGACACATGTGATGTAGAAGAGACATGAAGAAGAGGGGACACATGTTGATGTAGAAGAGACATGAAGAAGAGGGGACACATGTTGATGTAGAAGAGACATGAAGAAGAGGGGGACACATGTTGATGTAGAAGAGACATGAAGAAGAGGGGACACATGTTGATGGAAGAGAGACATGAAGAAGAGGGGACACATGTTGATGTAGAAGAGACATGAAGAAGAGGGGACACATGTTGATGTAGAAGAGACATGAAGAAGAGGGGACACATGTTGATGTAGAAGAGACATGAAGAAGAGGGGACACATGTTGATGTAGAAGAGACATGAAGAAGAGGGGACACATGTTGATGTAGAAGAGACATGAAGAAGAGGGGACACATGTTGATGTAGAAGAGACATGAAGAAGATGATTCTGCAGAATGGGTGACCTTTAAGACAAAATTAAATACGGTTTAAAAACTATTCCTCACCTCGGTGGCGGAGTGAGGAACCACCATGGCGGGTTGCTCGGGGAGTTTTGGAGGCAGAGGGAGAGGAAGCTCAGGTCTGGGGGGGATCTTAACCTGCTGCTGCCCCCCTGAGGATGAGATAAAACCCCCCAGGGATGATGAAAACCTCCCCAGCCTCTCCTCCTCCTCTTCGTCCTCCTCCTCCTCCTCTTCCTCCCTCTGTTTGATTCTCTGCTGCTCTCTGCGGGAGCTGAGGCCAAAGTCCTCATCGAACCAGTCCTGGTCGTCGCCCAGATCCTCCAGAAGTTCACGGCTTATCTCCAGCTCCGCCAGGCGCTTCACCAGCTCCTCCTGCCCGCTGACCCCCAGGATCGGACTCTCCTGTGGGGGAAGATGGAGAAAGAAAAACACATGAATACCATGCTCACTTTATAACAAGATCATTTAGAAGATCCTTCTCTTGTGGTGCAAACTAATTGAGATTAAGCAACTAGTCATGCCAACATTAACTACACTGTCTTCAATGTCTTCCATTTTTGTAAAGCACTTTGAATTGCCTTGTGTTGAAAGGTGCTATATAAATAAACTTGCCTTGCCTTGCCTTACACTGTAATCTGAGTTTTCCAATTTGAACTGTATTGTAATATTATCTTTTAACTGTACTATGTATTATCTTATTGACCTGTACTTAAAAGGTAGGGTAGGTAAGAATGGAGAAAGCAGCTTGAGTGCGCTAGAATTTGAAAGTATGCAGCCGGAAACAATCTGCCCCTTCCTTCAGACTTCCTTACAGAGCCCCTCCTCCAACACACACGAACGCGCACATGACCAATGAGGGCACCAGATAAGTCTGTGCACAGATGGAAGGCTGACAGGCAGGTAGGCCATCCAGTTATTTTAGCCGGGCCGGCTCAGATGATTGGTCGTGCTTTTTACAGCGCCACAGCTTCCACAGATGACATTTTTTTATGTATTTATTGTCAAAGCATTTCAGATATTCATTGCTATCGGGATGTTAAGAGCATTCCATGGAATATAACAAGTGTTTCTGAAGTGAATTACCTACCCCACCTTTAAATCACATTTTATAATTGTTTGTGTGATGGAGATGATGCAATGTTGTTAGTGTTTGTTGATTGTTATGAACCTGCCTGAGGACTGCAGATGGAAATGAGCTATTAGCAAAAATCTGGCATAAATAATATCTTCTCTTTTCTGAGATCTTGCCTTAGAATATGTAGCCACAACGTGTGAGAATACATCTTGGCTTCACACTTTAAAGACGTGTCTTTCTTACTGACGTCGTTCCAGCACCAAATCCAATAAAGTGTGTGGACACAGAGAGCTGGACTTTGTCTGAGCACATATCAGAAAACAAGGCTTCTTCAGGTCAAATCAACACGTTCTGTTTGTCAGGGACTTCAGAACGGCATTACTGGCATTACTGGCATTTCTACATCATAATAATTCCACAGTTTCGGAAGATTGGAAAAAAAGTGGAAGAGATATTATTGGTTTGCTTTGCTTGAATATGGTTTTGTATTTTCGGCTTTATTTTATTTCTCTCAAATCAGAAAACACCTCTCTTTTTGCTCTGATTGTGTTCGTTAGAGGATTATGGACACGTGATATATATATCTTTTTAGATCCGACCAAAAGTGATTTTTCTACGATTCAAGTTTTTCTCAGAATTCAGAAAATACATTTTTTTTTTCTTCTGAACTCTGACTTTTTTTCTCATAACTCAAAAATATAACTAAATGTTTGTCAGATCTAAAAAAACAAAAAACACACACTTCTTAATCCTCTTCCACAGTTGTGTGTCATCATACGGACAAAAACTAAAAAGATAACTGAATAGTGCGAATTAAAGTGTGCAACTCTAATATTAATTCTCCAAATTAAGAATACAAATACAAATGTACATGTACAACAGTATCACCTTAAATTAAATGTATATCACATGTTTTATTTGACTATAACTGAGTATCTAAGGACTGAATATAACTTTTCTACAGTCACTTTAAGACACATTTTTGGTGTTTTCTGTATTGTTAGCTGTGTACGAGTGTTGTGTTATTCGCCAAATGAGCCTTTTCTGTACATTTAATGGACACTAAAGTCATCTGAATCACACATGTGGGGTTTCTGCTCACTCACATGTTGGCTACGCGTCTTATTAGAAAAATACATGGGAAAATATGTGTATATTTAATGATCATGTGACTGCAGAATCAGATGTTCACACTCACAGGTTGGTTACACAGCTCTGGAGACGTCATCTCCTCTTTCTCTGAAGGCAGGAAGAAGGGCAGCCCGTCCTTCTGTTGAACAGATGGGAACCACTCCTTCTCCTCTTCATCATCATCATCAACACCTTCCTCTCCGTTCATCTGATTGGCTGCGTCTATCTTCTGCTCTTTAGCCCTTTTAATTTCAGCAAACTGCGCCACGGTGTCCGTCATGAAGTTGTTGAGGAGCTGGTCTGCGACCGAGTCCAGTAGCGCTTTCTGTTTCCCCTCCTCAGACACTTTCACCTCACGTGAGTCGACCTCCTCTCTCTCCACACGGGGGGCGACCTCCTCTCTCTCAACACGGGGGGCGATCTCCTTCTGGTTCCCCAGGTCGATATCAGAGATGAGGAGGGTGGTGGGTGCATCTTCAAAATGCAGCGTAATGTCCCTGCCGTTAGGAATAGGATGCTTGGATTCTTTGACATTATTGTTCGATATATCCGTAACGCTTTTATCCCCGGAGTTATTGAAATCATTAGATGTTGGTTCATTTTCATTCCCCTTTTCCCGTTTCTCTGATTCCCGCTCCCGCTCTTTGGTTTCTTTCTCTCCTTTCTCCGACAGAGGGTCACAGAAGGAGTCCTCGTCCTCCGTGGTGTCGGCGTAGATCTCAAACTTGTCCGGCAGGTGTGAGATTTTGTCCGGAGGCGCGAAGATGCCGTGGCTTTTGTCGCATTCAAAGTAAACCACGTCGTCGTAGGTGCCGTTGTTGCTCCCTTCGGATTTATCTAACTCCACGCCGGCCCAGTAACCGTTAGCAAAGCTGGTCGGCCCTTTGAACCTCAGCGTTCCCGGCTGAACACCGCCGACAAGAACTCGATCCCCGATATCAAAGCTAAGCATTTCATCTCTGACGGGAGAGGGAGGCGAGTGGGTGGAGTTTAGAAGTTTGGAGTCTTCTGCGTTGTTCTGAAAATCCAGCAGTCTGGCAGAATGACGGCTCGCTCCACTCGTCCCCGAGCGGTGACTCAGATCTTCAGATATTTCCTCCTCCACTTCCTCCTCGTCCTTTCTGGAGATTTGAGAAGCAGGTGTGGAGTCGTGGCGATCATCCCTAGGAGAGGAATCCACTGAAGACTCAAAGTCATCGTGATAAGCGTCTGCTCTGGGAGACGAGCCTTCCACGTCTTTAACGGAGGAGTCACTGGATGCAGATTTATCGTTTAGATTGAGTTCCTCTGCAGCCGACTTATTATTAGAGGAGATGACGTTTGATTTCTCAGCTTCAGATGCTTCTCTCGTCTTTAACTCTTTACTTTCCTCTAGGGTTACAGATGTAGAAAGCTTCTCTTTGGAGACGAGGAGACGCTCAGACGGTTGATCCTCAAACGTTGAGCTCACTTTCACCTCCGGCTCGTGATAGGATCTCTGAGGGCTGCCGCGCACCGGGGTGGGAGTCACAGTCGGAGGGTCTTCATCAGACAGCTCTTCAGGAACTGAGGAGGACCTGCTGAGATCAGGCTGAGGGACGGCATCTGTCACAGCGGGAAGAAATCACGGTGTTATTATTATTATTGGAATGTCTTTGTTAAAGGGTTAGACCATTATTTTAGGAGGGGGTTCCAGGCATAATACCCCTTGTCCACCCTCATTATGATCAACAAGCAGCAGCTTATTGTTCACAGAAATCCATCTATTGTAATGATTAGGTTAACTTTATGCTGCTGTGACAAACTGGGATCAATAACAGTAGATCTGATCCAACACATTTTTAAGCGAGCAGCATCGAGGATGTTTTTTACTTGAATGAGGAAAAGTCAGGCGTAAGAAAGTTGGTTTGGTATGCTGCGGCTGTGTGTGTGTGTGTGTGTGTGTGTGTGTGTGTGTGTGTGTGTGTGTGTGTGTGGATTTCCTGAGAAAACAAACACACACACCTGTGGTACATTTCTATTACAGAAATCCAGATTGTGATTCTCTTGCCTCTGCCGTTAAATAGCTCCGTTCCTCACTCGTCATCGTACAGCGATAATATCTTGACAGCCAAGGCTTTGTTTTAATCTGAAATCAAATCCCTTCCGTTTCACTATCATTCCTTATTTGAAGGAGACGTCGGGATTGCAAGGAGACGCTGAACCCTGTCGTTATAAGCTTCCAAAATGTATTTATCGTCTGAATTTGGCGATAACATTTTGACATTCTGAAAGCTAAGACTTTGACTGTTTAAAATCAACCAAAACCCCCAAAACAGTTTTTGACGTAAATCCACGATAATCTCGGAATAAGCCGTTTGGAAATACGACTGATTTCAACAGAGCGGGTGTGATATATGAGTTATGATGATTATATGACTCACTGTGATCCAATGAAGCCTCAATGTGCGTCCTTCCAGAGACGGTGCCGGTTTGAGACCTGAGAGAGAAGCGTTTCATTGAACACGTGACATTACAGTAATAGACGTGTTGTTGTGTTCCCAGGTGCTTCTGTTACCTGTCAGCAGGTGTTGTGATGCTCGTCTGCTCTGCGACTGAATCTTTGATCTGAGAGTCATCAGGCGTGGAGTCCGGCTTCTTGTTCAGCTCGGCTTTGGTTCTCTCTATGAAGTTGTTGTAGCTCTAAAAGGAAAACGGGGGAATAAAAGTTAAGAGTTAATCAAATCTTTATTTATAAAACACTTTTCATACACAACAGGTATCTCCCTCTTCACAGGGAACACACAGCTTTGTGATTGGAAAGAACACTGAGTAGCAATGAAGGACTGAATACAATAATAATTAAAAAATGTATAAATAAATAATAAAAAGGAAAAAAACAATACAATTTATAATACAAATAATACAAAATATGTATATTAATAATTTAAAAAGATTAAAACAAGAATTAAATACAAAAATATTAATAATACAAAAATACATAAATAATTAAATTAAAAAAAAATCTATAAATTAATAATAATAACAAATAAAACAATAATTACATTATAATAAAAATATTAATAATACAAAAAATAAAATAAATAAATAACAAAATCAAATCTAAAATAATAAAAAATAGCACCCACACACACCCTCACAACCACCCACACACACCCTCACAACCACCCACCCACACACACACTCACAACCACCCACCCACACACACCCTCACACCACCCACACACACCCTCACAACCACACACCCTCACAACCACCCACACCCACTCACAACCACCCCCACACACCCTCACGACCACCCACTCACAAACCACCCACACCCTCACAACCACCCACACACACCCTCACAACCACACACACACACCCTCACAACCACCCACACACACTCTCACAACCACCCACACACACTCACAACCACCCACACACACTCACAACCACCCACACCCTCACAACCACCCACACACACCCTCACAACCACACACCCTCACAACCACCCACACACACCCTCACAACCACCCACACACACACCCTCACAACCACCCACACACCCCTCACGACCACCCACCCACACACACCCTCACAACCACCACCCACCCACACACCCGAATCACAAAATCACCCACTCCACAAACCCGCACAACCACCACACCCACCACACACACCCGCACAACCACCACACACACACCCGCACAACCACCCACACAACACAACTCGCACAACACCCACACACACCCGCACAACCACCACCCACACAACCCGCACACCACCTCACCCACACACACCACAAACACCGCACAACCAACCACAACCACCCGCACAACCACCCCACACACACCCGTCACAAGCCACCCACAACACGCTCACAAACACCCACCACACACACCCGCATCAACCACCCTAACAATCCAACACCCACACACACACACCCTCACAACCACCCACACACACCCTCACAAACCCCCACACAACACCCACACACACCCTCACAACCACCCACACACACCCTCACAACCACACACACACACCCTCCCTCCCACCCACACACCTCCAGCTGCTTCAGCAGGCTGGCCTCCTGCGCCTTCAGGTGCTCTTTGTGTCTCTTCTTCTGCTCCTTCTTCAGCTGGTAGGCCATAAACTTCCTCTTCCTCACTTCCTCCTTCAGACCCCGGATTCGGCTCTCTATGTCACTCTGGTCTGAAATGTGCTCTGGAGGAAGGTCTTGATGAAAAAGAGAGAGAGAAAGAAAGAAAGAAATCACAGTGAGAATGTGAGAGCAGAGCCAGATCAGTGATTAGGGAAAGTAATCCAACTCTGTGCCGACTCGAACTCAAACCCAGTTCTTAAGAGATTACAGGACGTTTTATGAGCTGCACGATGCTTTGGCTCGTACCCGATGAAGTAGGTATCACAAAGATTTGAAAACAATACTTTTGTGACCTGCTCAGTCACTTCAACACCCAGAGACATTTTGACTAGGGATGCTCCGATCGAGTGGGCGGGGCCTATGGGGATCTTCCATTTAAAGTGATGTTTAAAACTCAGTTAATGCTCATTCACTGGAGCTTCCACAAACCAACCAACATATTTATTACATTCAAATGAAGTACATTATTCAAGTTTACATTAACTTTGGATAAGAACACGGGAGAAATGAGCGGAAGCGCTTTCTCTCTCTCTCTCTCGACAGCCTGTCAGTATCGTCTCATGCAGCTCACTGATCCAGTAATGAGTGACCCGACAGTGAAGAATAAACATATGTATAACTAGTTTAGCTTGTTCCAGAGGTAGATCAAATAGCTAAGTGTGTTAGTGTGTGTTCTGCTCCGCTCACCGGTCCGTCACAGCGGGTGGAGCTGCACTTCACACACGTTGCATAGCCCTATTTTACTGTCTTTTTCGGACACCTTCAAATACTTCCAGACCGGTGAAGCCATTGTGGCGAGCTTGTTTTGCCGCGCACAGAGAAAAGTGTCATGTATTTTACGTCATATTTTCGGCTCTCGCGATCGGCATTTATAGAGAGCACCGATCGATCGGCAGAGAGTGAGTATCGGCCGATATCGATCGGAGCATCCATCATTTTGACATAAGCTATAAACGTACATAGACCTTTGGAAAGAGCTCTCTAATCACATCTTCACTATTTACTTTACTTTATTTGAGAAAAAAGGCCTTTCAAGTTTGCGAAATGTATTTTGAGAGGAGGATACAGGCTTAATATCTCGGTGACGTATCATCTGAAAATGCCGATAAGGAGCCGTTTAATGTAATATTCCATTCCTTACACACTTAAAGTATATAATATCCTGTTTTGTGTTTACTGTAAATCGGCCCTTCAGTAGTGTTTTATTTATCATACAGTAGATTTGTTATCTTCAGTCAGTACTTTTTTTAATGCTGTTTTATTTCTATTTTGAGATGTTTAAATTATAGAATTGTTTATTTCACTTTGTTTGTTACCAAAATGACCAAAACTAAATTCACGATTGTTTCTGAATGCGCTGTTAAGATATCTGACTGATTCCAATAGAGCTCCTTTTTCTACAGTACTGGTCCTGCAGAACTGTATTTCCTCATGCAGTAACTGACTCTTTTGTAAAGTGTTCTCTCCTCCAACATCACACAGCTAAGCAGGTTAGGAATCAGCCAAGTGCTTCCATAATGTATTCCTGGCAGCATTACATTATGCTGGACTACACAGCGCCATCAATACAGCTGCATCACATCTTTTACCATCTCTGAGAGGTATAATGCACCCCTCAGAAACAACACTTCCTGTCTCTGTGCGTGTGTGTGTGTGTGTGTGTGTGTGTGTGTGTGTGTGTGTGTGTGTGTGTGTGTGTGTTCACGTACAGTCTATTCTTTAACTGTTTCTCTGAGAACTACCAGGAGGTTCAATACACCCCTCAGAAACAACACTTCCTGTCTGTCTGTGTGTTTATTCTTTGTGTGTGTGTGTGTGTGTGTGTGTGTCTGTGTGTGTGTCTGTCTCTGTGTATGTGTGTTCACGTACAGTCTATTCTTTAACTTCTTCTCTAACAACCAGGAGGTATAATACACCCCTCAGATACAATACTTTCAGTCTGTGTTTGTCTGTGTGTGTGTGTGTGTGTGTGTGCGTTCAAGTACAGTCTATTCTTTAACTGTTTCTCTGAGAACTACCAGGAGGTTCAATACACCCCTCAGATACAACACTTTCAGTGTGTGTGTGCCTGTGCCTGTGCCTGTGTGTGCCTGTGTGTGTGTGTGTGTCTGTGTGTGTGTGTGTGTGTGTGTGTGTGTGTGTGTGTGTGTGTAACTCACCAGTCCGGTTGGAGGCTCGGAGCTGCATCTTGCTGCTGTGTGAAGGAGAGGCTAGGGGGGCGAGGCTTCCTCTCAGAGACTGGAGAGAGGAGGAGGAGAGAGGAAGAGACATTAGGATATAACAACAGTCACATGGACTATTACAAGCATCCCTTAATTAATATTTGATGTGCAACATAAACTAGCATATGCATCGTCCCCGGTATAGCATGAAGCCGTGGGAGTTTCAAAAGTTTAATGATAGACTATTAATAACCCACACAGCATCATATGTGAGTTTTAATTAATGAATTTGACTGAAGTTTGTCCACTTCACTGCCTCAGACATGCGGGGCAATTTCTATAGTAAGAATTCAAAAGTTTCATAATAAAAGATTTCAAATCATTTCAAACACGATTCAAATCTTAATTAGTATTTAAGACGTGTTTTTTTTACGGTGTTTTGTACAAATCATAGTAAATACTTTCCAATATCAACCAACGTGGGTTTCTTTTGTGACAGTGAAAACATGGTTACATCACAGACATTAGCATTCACCGTGATGACACCAGGCCCAGAAAAACGTTTTCCCATTGACTAACATTGAGAAAGAGACGTCTGTAAATCAACTAAATAAACTATGTATGAACACTTTTATAAACCTTATTAGAATCATTACTGTCGAGTCAATCAAGTTGTAAAATACGCTAAAAGCTGAATCCAGATTTATTTCCTCTCTCCATTCATTCTACTGAGCCGAGATCGGGGGCGGGGCTTAATGGCAGGAGGCGGGGCTTAAGGGGAAACGTACCTCCACGTGCTCTATGAGCTACATACGGGTACTTCTGCTCTGACAGCCAGGCATGATGGGTAATTTGTGACGTTTTGCTCTCGAGAATGTCTGGCCATTTGGTCCTCATGAGCCAATGAGCAGCTCTCATAGGAAAGAACGAGACCCCGCCTCCTACGCTGTATCCAGTTCTTATTAAACATCCATGGATAAGACTGCTAAACTCCTGCTACTATTTATTCCAACACATTTAAACAATAACGCCATAATACTGATACTGTGATAAGATGGACCTTTATTAATCCCCGTGGGGAAATTCAGTAGTTTAACAGCAACAGGGTGAGATAACTGGTAATATAACTAGTTTTATCTCTATTTTAGCGAGGCTGTACCCAAAGAAATGGATGTAAACACTGCATTATAATCACAGTCTGCGTACCTGTCTGCTGGGAGAGGTGAAGTCCTGGCTGTAGTTTGCAGGGCTGTTCTGCACGGAGGTTCCTGAAGGAGTTTCAGGGTTTGAAGCAGGTGGATCTGAAGCTGGACTTCCTGTCTGTGGTCCCTCCGTGTGGATGCTGGAGTCAGGAGTCACTGAGGAACAGTCCTCACTCACATACTCTGAAAACACCAGAAACAAGAAAATATTAAGTTATCTCTTCTCTGTGAGCTGTTCTGTTCTCTAACACTTGAAGTGGGAATCTATACGCCTACTGCCTGACTCTGCTTTATGGAATCTATTTTTTTTTTTTTACATGTGGCCCGAATCATAATTTTTTTTCTAAATTCAGACTTTTTTTTCTTCAAATTTCTGACTATTTCATAATTCTCACTTTTTTACAAAAATAAAATTTTTGATAAAAAGTTTGGACTTTTTCAAAAAATTCCCCAAATCCTGTTTTTTTTCAAATTTCGGTAATTCTTTTAAATTTCTGAGTATTTTCATAATTTTCTCAGTTTATAAAATCTCTGAGTCGATCAGTTGTTATCTCTTCTCTGTAAGCTGTTCTGTTCTCTAAGCCAGGGGTTCCCAAAGTGGGGGTCGCGAGATGATTACAAAATAAAAATTTAAAATTATAAACAATTTATTAATTCTATTTTTAATAATTTTTTATCAATTTCTTTTATCAATTTTTTTTAAATGATTGTTAATAATAATAATAATCTTTTTTCATAATTCTCACTTTTTTACAAAAATCTGAATTTTTATAAAAAGTTCCGACTTTTATAAAATTCTGACTTTTTTTTAAAAGAAATGTCACTTTTTTTTTAAAGAAATGTCACTTTTTAGAAAATCTTTGAGTGGATCAGCTGTTCTCTCTATAAGCCGTACTGTTCTGTTCTCTAATACTTTCAGTGTGAATCTATTCTTCTTCTGCCTGAATCTGCTTTATGGTTTTCACTTTCTTTGCTTCATCTGTTCCGTTTTTAAATCAGCAGGTGAACCTATATGTTCATAAAGTAGTGTGTGTGAGCTTAACTGTGTGCGTTAAACTAAAACAGAGCATTTCCTGTCAGCTCTGATTTCATTCCTTCTTTTTTAAACTGTCTGTGCTCATGAGTTTCAGTGTTAGCCTGCTGCCTCAATCTGCTTCATGACAGGCTGGTTTTACTATAAATAAAATCATTTCTGATCCTAAATATCTTGGTTTCTTATTTTCTAAAGTCACATTGATCTGTTGTCAGAGGTGGAAAGTACATTTACTTAAGTTCACATTTGAGGTACTTGTACTTTACCCGAGTTCTTTCATTTTATACTACTTTATACTTCTACTCTAACATATTTTGGAAGCAAATGTTGTACTTTTTTAGATGAGAAGATTTGCTGCTTCCGTCTAAATATTTCATGATATTTAAAAAGGGCTTTTTCTGCAATGACGTTCACTCTGAACACTTTAGGTACATATTCCTCATTTACCTAAATACTTTTACTGAAGTACTATTCTCGATACAGTACTTTTTTAAGGTTGTAATGAATCCATTTCTAAAGACCCCCTGCTGTGTGTTCACCTTTCTCGCTGTCTATCCTGGGCTCTGAGCTCTGACGGAGACTCGGGCTGATGTCAGAAACCTCGTTCTCCCGACTCTCCGCCCCGTCTCGAGATGTTTTTCTGTCCCACAAAGCCAGCGCCTCCTTCTCCATCCTCCTGACCTCGGCCTCCTCTCGATCCAGGCGCTGTTTCCACTGCAGCAGCTCCTCCGCATGGTGCCGCCTCTGCATCAGCACCTGCTCTCGCTTCGTCAGGAACCTAAAAAGGTGGAGGTCAGAGTGAAGGAGGGAAGGTAATGAGGAGGTGAGGAAGTGAAGGGTGATTGGTGAAGGAGGCAGTGAAGAGAGAGAGAGGAGAAGTAGGAGATTTAGCATAAGGGATGTTTAAATGTGACATCGCTGAAGCAAGCAGACCCGAATCAGATCAGACCCCACACACACACACACACACACACACAACCACACACACACACACACACACACACACACACACACACACACACACACACACACACACACACACACACACACACACACACACACACACACACACACACACACACACACACACACACACACACACACACACACACACACACACACACACACACACACACACACACACACCACACACACACACACACACACACACACACACACACACACACACACACACACACACACACACACACACACACACACACACACACACACACACACACACACACACACACACACACACACACACACACACACACACACACACACACACACACACACACACACACACACACAAGAAGAACAGTGAAGATGTCAGGCTCATGCGTCAGACTGAAACCCAGGAACACACACCTCAAACGTATGAGTTACACAGGATAGGAAAGGTTTAATAAAAGGCAGTTAAATCTGTATGAATGCGTCTCTCTGATAAACACACTGATACAGATAGAGGGTTGATACTGACAATGGAGCAGATCTATTCAGTTCATATCTATAGATCTGATTACTTTACAGCCTGTTGTGATAAATGAACAATGATTTCATGTTTACATTAGTTTTAATTTAATCTAGTTGAATTGTTTTTTGTACTGGATGTTTTGACCAATTTGTGGAAACATTTCATCAGATGTTTTACTTTGCTATTGCAGCATAAATATATAACATTACTAGTTATACATTTGATTACAACATGTACATAATAACAGGGGAAAGAAGGTATATAACTATAATATACAACAATTAGGTTTGACTGAGGGATAAGATTTATTTATTTGTTTAATTAAAAGTAATTACTGTTATTAATATTGCTGTAAAGGTGTCTTTTTTTGTACTTTTAAATACAATATATTTCTCTTTCTTTTGGACACCCAGGCTGCGCAGAGTGTCTGCCGGGAACAGCATAGCAGGTATCGGTATCTAGACTTAAATAATAATAATATGAGTGCATTAGTCATTAGTATTGACTTCCATTTACTGTAAACCTCTGACCAATGAGGGCAGAAAGCCTTAAAACACAGCCACTCATTGCAATGCAAACATCATCTGTAATCCTAAAATCCAACTTACCCTGAGTCTCTTATAAATACATATGTCTCTGGTGAGGTGTAATGTGCTCCCCCACAGCTCTGGGTGCGGTTACACTGCAGTATTATTTAGCCCTGATTTAATTTAAAGGCCTTTCTCTTGACCCTAATGTTTACTGATGACAGGACAGATACTGAGGAGCCAGACAGAGGGTCTTTGAGTGCCTTCCCAAACTCCATTACAGCCACTGGACCATCTGTACTTGTTATCCAATTCTGTGCAACAGTTACCTAATAAAGAGCGCTAGTTAAGATGGACTGGGCTCATTGAAGAGACGGAGCACTCTGTGTCTGCTCCGTGTGGTTCAATCTGAAAACATTCTGTATCAATGAGCAGCCGCAATATGGAGGGCGTAAAGAGAGATGCACCGCAGCATTCATTACAAGAAGAAAGGAGGAGAGAAGAGTCACAGATTGAACACCACAGAAACCAGAGATCCCAGCGCTGAGTCCGAGATTCCCATCCAACAAGGAAGGCTCCTATCGAAATAAACGTAACCTTTAACCTTCAGGAGATGTAATATATGTCACCCAGAGTGTTTAATGCATCAGGTAGGGCTGCAGGGTTGAGAACTAACTTATTCATTTTTAAACATTATTCAAATTAAGGATTAAAAACTACATACAAATTGTAATTGTTTGATTATTTTAAAGGGGCCCTTTTATGCTCGTTTTCATAATTTTATGTAGTGTCTCTACTTTAAAGAGTCCTCTCCTGCTGATGTTCAGGTGTATATCAGTATGTAGTGTCTCTACTTTAAAGAGTCCTCTCCTGCTGATGTTCAGGTGTATATCAGTATGTAGTGTCTCTACTTTAAAGAGTCCTCTCCTGCTGATGTTCAGGTGTATATCAGTATGTAGCGTCTCTACTTTAAAGAGTCCTCTCCTGCTGATGTTCAGGTGTATATCAGTATGTAGCGTCTCTACTTTGACATAGCGCTAGCCAATATGAGCATGAGTGTTCCATAGTGATGTCACTATGTTACGGGACTTTTTTATTTTGGGATTTTAGCCTTTAGAGACATTCACAAAAACCAATAGAAAACACTAAAGGAGCGGGAAAACACCCCAAAAAGGAGAATAGGGCCTCTTCAAAGATAATCTGTGACAAACAAGGGCTTTTAATTCAGTCTGTAGAATACTGTTCCTACACAGCTCCAACATACTGAATTGAATATTGCACTAGTCCATATTGCGATTTAGATTTCATTTTTAATTAATTGTGCAACCCTACCATGAATATTTAGATTTAACAGGCTGTTTTATTTTGTTCAAAGTTACCCAAAACCAGAATGCTTTGCAGACAGTACAGGCAATACATATAGCCTAAAAATGGGGGTAAGGCCAGTTAAGCATGTTGCCTTCTTCTCCATTTTCTATCTGAAATGAAATGTATATTGCTTATTAAACATCTGTTGCATCTGATGATAATTATTGTTGCTAAAAGGTACGTTTATTTTACAAAAGGCAGCCTTCCTTGGGCACTTTTCAAGCTTTCACTCAAACTCCTCCCCCCACATCCTGGAAACAAACCAACAAACCCAATCAGTCAACAATCACCGTCCCACCCCTAAAGGTCCCAGTGCCAGTGGGTGAACACAGGCATGTTCCATGGGGTGGGAGGAGGGGGTTATTAGGTGGAGGTGCTGGGATCGAGGTAGAGAGCTCTGTACAGTACCTGACCAAATGGTTGTAGATAAAAAGCTGGAATTTAGGGTGGAGGTTGGGCAGACAGACACTGAGGGAGGCCCAGTGGTGAGCCGTGAACACAGAGAAGAAGCAGTGGACAGGAGAGCAGAGTCTACAACACACACAGTCACAGGACACACACACACATGGGCATGGAGACACACAACACACACAATGTGAGAGGAGGGAGAAACATTACAAACACAAAGAGGGAACAGACACGTAGGGAGGAGGGAGAGAGAAGAGTGATATGAGCAAATGGGTCTGATACACCCAATGTGTTCTGCTTTTAATATGGATATGTATAGAGTGGTGCAGGGAGGACATGTTATTGTAGGACAACCCGGAAATTAGCGTAGTAAGGACTCTCTAGACAAAAAGCCAATGTGATTTTTCAGCAGGATAATCTCCACATATTAACACCACTTTATGATTTCTGAAGTAAAAAGCTAATGTTGGGCTATAAAAGGAACTACAGCACGGTCACATGACTTCACGTCACCACCGCTAAGCTAAAGGTGGCTAATGTTGGGCTATAAAGGAACTACAGCACGGTCACATGACTTCACATCACCACCGCTAAGCTAAAGGTGGCTAATGTTGGGCTATAAAGGAACTACAGCACGGTCACATGACTTCACGTCACCACCGCTAAGCTAAAGGTGGCTAATGTTGGGCTATAAAGGAACTACAGCACGGTCACATGACTTCACGTCACCACCGCTAAGCTAAAGGTGGCTAATGTTGGGCTATAAAGGAACTACAGCACGGTCACATGACTTCACATCACCACCGCTAAGCTAAAGGTGGCTAATGTTGGGCTATAAAGGAACTACAGCACGGTCACATGACTTCACGTCACCACCGCTAAGCTAAAGGAGGCTAATGTTGGGCGTGAAGATGTTTAGTCGTCTCATTTAGACACACGTGGGGTATTTACTGACCTATTTTATGTCGTAGAACAAAAAGTGTAAATCTCTTCAGCTTGTGTTAACCACAGACCTTATTTCAGAATAACAACCATTCAGAAAACCATTGACCTCCAGACCAGGGGACAGGAAGTGGTAAAATGCTGATCAATGTCCGGGTTTTAGGACTCATTCCTGCACCACTCTATTAGGAGATCATGAATATTTTAGCTAGCATGAGGGCATCAAGCATAGGGGGTTGGGTGGGGGGTATGATCACTGCCAAACCTGTTTATTGAGGGGGTTAAAAGTTAGAGTTTTCAGTCGTTTTTTGAACAAAGTACAATGCTGGGGTTACAATTTGTTAGTGTGTTACGTCAAGACAAATATATATGGTACATTTACTTTGATTAACAGCAGGACAGTGGTAATAAAGACTGAAAGAGGATAGCCCAGAAGTATTTCATAGTTTGATAAAAAAGCAAGCAAGCACAAGAGCCAGGAAATGCATGCTCTGACACAAATATCTGTTTTTGTAAGATCCAACTTTGAGTTTCTGTTTAACTTTGAACAAATCTAGACCTAAGGAATGTCGAAGTGCTACCATCGAGGGTCTGTGATCTGTTGCCAAGATATAAATCCTAAATAAATAAATCCTAAAGCCCAGAACAATTGACCCACTTGTTGGAGCTGCGCTGGCACGAGAGGCTCTGCAGCAGCTGACCTGAGCTGCGAGAGGGTAACAGTTTGCACAGGAACCACCTGCACATGAAGCTACTCGTCAAAACAAGGGGACAGCCAATGTTTTTCTTATCTGGAAAATAACTGTGCCTTTGAAATGTAAAGCTTCAGTTCCAAAGTTTGTGTCTTTCAATGTTTTTACTTTCATTTTGTTCCAAATCTATATAATCTTTTAAAAGGGGCGGATTTAATAGTTTCTGATGTTGTTGCTTAACATGTTCAGACTGCAACATATATTCCTACAGGTTGTTAAAAACTCAAGTTAATGGGACGGGCTTTGGATCAAAGGGAGAACAACATGGAGCATGCTTATCTTCACATCCACCCATAGCAGTTTAGACAGCAGAAGAAAGATGGCCTGCACTCATTAGTCTTCATTAGTTTAGTTGCCTGTTAAAGTAAAGACCCTATGTTTGGGATTTTAGTGTTTCGGACTTGAATATATAGAAATGGCACTTTTTAACGAGGCAATATTCCCTACTTACTGCAGTGAGTGTTAACTGTATACAGTTAAATCGAACGGACTTGTTTGTGCAGATGTGAGCGTCCTTAACAACGGTCAATAAGTCCTTGACAGCGGTCTGTCTGTTCTGGATTAACAACGTGTCACGTGTTCTGAATTGACCAATCGGAATCGAGTATTCAACTAAGCCATGTAATAATGAGTGTTAACTGTGCGGAAGTGTTATGGAAGAAATTAGTCATGCTACTTTGGTTATTCTGCTGCTACTTCACTCAGCAATAATCACATATGTTCATTAAACTCTTTAAATTCTGCTTTTTATTTCTCACCATGCATGAGCACCTTTGTGTCTTTATCTTGAACCGATGTGTACTTACAGGATAGAGGATGTTAGCTTCCACTTTTTATTTGTTTTGCCTTTTATCTGCAGAGTCATTTCTGCTGTAAAACGCTCGATCATTTCCCAGATGCGGGACTTGGAAAGTATTTCTGATTCTGAAATTCTGTGTGAACATATAATATGTGTTTAAAGTTAATTGAATCAGGGCCAAGACAAAATCACAAGATGAAAGAGTTGGAAAATATTCTTACAAGCACAAAAGGAGCTGACATGAAGCGTGAAGACAGCACCACACGGCTGGAGTCAGCACGGCTAAAAACACTTCTCATGGAGCATGACTTGGGATGCATCACCTCTCAAACCAGAACAGAGAACAAATCAACTGTTTAAAAATGTGTTTACTTCTCGTCCGTGTGGGAGCGCATCTTCTTGAGCTTCTGCATGATGCTGCTGGTCTCACTTCCAGAGATGGAGAGCGGGGGGGAGGGGCTGCGTCTCATGTTGGGGGAGGCCGACTCTGAGAGGGGGGTCTCTGACACGGGGGTCTCCTGGAGGGAAGGAAAACACAGAATGATGCATGTATACATATATTGGTGTATGTGTGTGCGTATCAGTCTCCGTTAGCCGGTAATTACCGGACTTTGAACGGTAAAATATGCTGAAGACCGGCACATCTAAATCTCTCCGGTCAAAATAATTTCCCTTAGCGCAATACCGCATCAGTTGCGCCACTTATGTGACAGACAAGAAGAGTATGTGACAGACAAGAAGAGTACGTGACAGACAAGAAGAGTGTGTGACAGACAAGAAGAGTGTGTGACAGACAAGAAGAGTGTGTGACAGACAAGAAGAGTGTGTGACAGACAAGAAGAGTGTGTGACAGACAAGAAGAGTGTGTGACAGACAAGAAGAGTATGTGACAGACAAGAATAGTGTGTGACAGACAAGAAGAGTGTGTGACAGACAAGAAGAGTGTGTGACAGACAAGAATAGTGTGTGACAGACAAGAAGAGTGTGTGACAGACAAGAAGAGTATGTGACAGTATCTGTTGGTAATGCCTCAGGGTTCCGGTGGGCATGTAAACAAATGCATAATGCTGCGCTATACTTTGTGGCCTCACCCGGTTGCATAGCAACGCTTATTGTTTAGGTGTCTTTTAATAAGCAGGTAGTCATATCATTAGCTAGAACCAGCTGGATCTGATCGATATGGACATAAACGCGAGTCTAATCTGACGGGAGAGAGAGGTCAGCTGCTGCTGACGAGTCGACACGCAGCTCTGCATGATCACCTGCAGCGGTGAGCGGAGCAACACACACTTCAGGTTAGAATATCACACGTAGCTATTTTAATTACCTCTCAAACCTAAACTAGTTATAGATATGTTTAGTTTTACTGTCGGGTCACTCATTACTGGATCCGTGAGCTGCATGATACTGACGGGCTGTCAGGAGAGGGAGAGAGCTCAGTTTATTATTCCCGTGTTATTATAAGTTACTGTACACTTTTGAATAATGTAGTTAATCTACTATAATTAGTTTGTTTAATATCGAATCATATCAATTTGTTTTAAAGCTCAATAAATAAAAAGAAGACCTTTGACCGGCACTTTTCTCATTTTGTCCGGAAGATTTAGACTTTAACGGACATTTTGACCGGCGAAAACAAATCTAACTGAAACTCTGCTGCACGGTCCCCTCGTCCCTTGGAAGAGGCGGAGAGGTGGGTGTTTTTCATCTGCTGGTGGACTACCGGAGAGTAGGAGCAAACGCTTGCCTCGGGGAGGGAGAAAAAGAGCCAGAGCGTAGAATAAACAGAAGGGCAACCATGGCAACCATGCGGGAAGTCTTCTTCGCTGCTTTTGTGGCAGGACTACAGCGCCACTTACAGGCCCGGCATATGTACTACAGCGTCTCCAGCACTTTCGAGCGGTCTCGTGTGAACGGACACGTTTCTGGTGCCTGTGGACGGAATACTTTTTTGATAACGATTGCGGTCCAACTTTTGAGAGAGCGAAACGTCACGAAAGTATTCATACAATCATATAATCCGTTCTTATTGTGCATCCATGGGTAAAGGTAAAACTCATGTAGTACTGAACACGTCACATGAACGTGCCGGGCGGCGTGGTCCCGTGGGTTAGATGCGCGTTCATAATTCAGAGGAAAATAACTCTCAGAATAACGTTATTAGCACATTTTACAACTTGAGGACCGAATGTTTTTAATAAGGGCTATACAAATGTTCATACTGGGTAGTTTATTTAGTTTAAAACAAATTATCCAACGATTTACAGACGTCTCTTTCCCAATGTAAGTCAATGGGTAAAAAGTGTTTCCGGGCCCAGCGACTGATACGGAAGTGTAGTACCGCCGTTTGGCCACAACGAATATTTTCCTCAGAGTCCGGCGCACTTCCTGGGGCCTTGGATCGGACCAATAAAGTATTATCGTATCGTATAAATCAAACTGTGGCCCTTTAAAGTGATCCCTGTGGAGGAGAGTAGTGACTCACAGGTGGAGTTTCCCCCCCGGCGCTCTTCAGACGCTCCTTCAGGCGGAGGGTGGAGTTTCTCATCCGCTCGATCTCCTCCTGCTGCTTCAGCAACAGCTGCCGCTCCTTCCTGGCCGCTTTGTTGGCCTCCTGAAGCCTCTTGATCTCAGCCTGGGAACAAACACACAGAGATGGGAGGTGAGTAAAGTAATGGTTAAGATCTCTGTGGATGAGACCCCGCTCTGTCAAAATCAGTCGTAACAGCTCATTCTGAGATAAGCAAGCATTTATGTCAAAAACTTGTGTTGGGTTTTGGTGGATTTGAACCAAACAAGTCCTGGTTTTAGAATATGAAACTATTATTGCCATATTCAGACAATAAACATTTTTGTTTAAGAAAATGTGTTTGTCCCATGTGTCAGTATAACTCCGCCCCCTCACCTGCTCCTGCTGCAGCTTCATCAGGAGGCCCCTCTGCTTCTTCCTGATTGGAGGCATCTTGTCGTCCTCTCCTTTGTCCCTCAGTCTCTTCTTCTGGTGCTCCAGCCAGGCCAGCTCAGCTTTGGTCTTCTCTTTCACGGCCTTCTGTCGGAGGTGCAGCAGGGAGCTCTGGTGCTGCAGACGCACCTCCTCGTCCTTCATGTACTGACGCACCATGTCCATCGTGAACTGAGAGAAGCTGTCCTGCCCGCCGGCGAACGACATGCTGGAGTCCTGAGGCTGCAGGGGAACAAGAGAGAAAGATAGACGTCAGATTGTTATACGATACGATATGTGACTTTAATGGTCAGACTGAGACAAACGTGTTTTGTGATATTGGGCTATACAAATAAAGTTTGATTTTAAATCATCAGCAGTCTTGAATTGTCAAACACTGACTCTTATGTAGATGTATTGGCAAACGTTTCTATGACCTCTCTGCCCTCTCACCTTTAACATGTGTTGAACCCCTGAAACCACTGTGGCGTTGTGATTGGCTCCGTCATCCTCTGACTCATCGTGGGGGCGGGGCTTCTTCTCCATGGTTCCCCTGCGGTGCGCCTCAGACGGCAGCAGAGAGCGAAACGAGCGCTCCTCGATCTCGTCCTCCGTCATCGACTCGTCAAACTTCAGAGAGTATTCGGTTGCCACGGACGTAGTGTCTCCTGGAGGACAGAAATATAATAAACTCAAGAGTTATTTTAGGTACTTTTAGGCATCTTCGTATCTGCCACTACGTTTGTTTGCACTACTCAATACTACTCGCAGAGATACAGAGTACACACACCCTTTACTCAAGTAGAAGTACACACATCCCTTTACTCAAGTAGAAGTACACACATCCTTTACTCAAGTAGAAGTACACACACCCTTTACTCAAGTAGAAGTACACACATCTGTTACTCAAGTAGAAGTACAGACACCCTTTACTCAAGTAGAAGTACACACATCCTTTACTCAAGTAGAAGTACACACACCCTTTACTCAAGTAGAAGTACACACATCCTTTACTCAAGTAGAAGTACACACATCTGTTACTCAAGTAGAAGTACACACATCCTTTACTCAAGTAGAAGTACAGATACTCGTGTTTAAAATACTCTGGTGAAAGTAGAAGTACTGACTAAACTTCTTTACTCAAGTCAAAGTAAAGAGGCTTTGAAATGTACTTCAGTAAAAAGTACCCATAACTAGCAGCTGTTTTAAAGAGTACCTGACCTCCCTTTATATTAATAGAACAATAATGTCATTGTTAGCTAATGAATGTTTCCATGCTGAACAACGGCAACATGACAACGTTTTCATTGGTCCCTCTTCTTTAGAGAAGACCAGGAAATGATGGATACACGGATCGTGTTCAAATCAATAGGCACGCCATAGAGTGCCACAGTGACGCATCCTAAAACCTGGACGTAAACTCCTTCCGGTTCCTTCGCCAAAACGCAATGCAGTTTCTCCATAGGATTTAGGAAAATAGCTGGAAATCAGGTCTGTGGTTGAAACACATTTAAGAGACGGGTCACGTTTTGTTCAGCTGGATAATCTCCACATGTCTACCCTACTTTTATCATTTTCTAAATCGTAAATCTAATGGCCAGAAGCAAAATGCTAACGTTATGCTATAAACAAACTACTTTTTTTCAATTAAAAAACATATAAACCTTTGTCATCCACTACAGAGGGGATGCTGTCGCTGCAGAGGGAATCATTTGCTGCTTTTTGAACTTCTTCCTCGATGGAGCTGCTGCCTTCCTCCTTCCTCGTCTCCTTCCTCCTCTTCCCTTCTCTCGCATCTTTCTTCGTCCGGTCTCTGTCTCTGGTCTCAAGCGAGGCGTGTGAAGGGCTGTGGTGGCTGCTGGAGTCCGCTCCACTGATGGAAAAGAGAAAGATTTTAGTGCCTGTTCAGATTTCTCTGTAGGAACTAAAGCTAAAGGAGGTGTGTGATTGGTACCTGATGTTGGGTCTTCTGAAGGACAGAGAGTCAGAGGGACTGAGGCTGTTCAGGGAGGACAGCGTCTCCTCCGGCCTGGTCCTTCTGTTGGACACCTCACTACTGAAGCTGTGAGAGGATGAAAAAGAGTGTATATCAGTATGTAGTGTCTCTACTTTAAAGAGTCCTCTCCTCCTGATGTTCAGGTGTATATCAGTATGTAGTGTCTCTACTTTAAAGAGTCCTCTCCTACTGATGTTCAGGTGTATATCAGTATGTAGTGTCTCTACTTTAAAGAGTCCTCTCCTCCTGATGTTCAGGTGTATATCAGTATGTAGTGTCTCTACTTTAAAGAGTCCTCTCCTCCTGATGTTCAGGTGTATATCAGTATGTAGTGTCTCTACTTTAAAGAGTCCTCTCCTACTGATGTTCAGGTGTATATCAGTATGTAGTGTCTCTACTTTAAAGAGTCCTCTCCTGCTGATGTTCAGGTGTATATCAGTATGTAGTGTCTCTACTTTAAAGAGTCCTCTCCTCCTGATGTTCAAGGTGTATATCAGTATGTAGTGTCTCTACTTTAAAGAGTCCTCTCCTCCTGATGTTCAGGTGTATATCAGTATGTAGTGTCTCTACTTTAAAGAGTCCTCTCCTCCTGATGTTCAGGTTGTATATCAGTATGTAGTGTCCTCTACTTTAAAGAGTCCTCTCCTACTGATGTTCAGGTGTATATCAGTATTAGTGTCTCTACTTTAAAGAGTCCTCTCCTGCTGATGTTCAGGTGTATATCAGTATGTAGTGTCTCTACTTTAAAGAGTCCTCTCCTCCTGATGTTCAGGTGTATATCAGTATGTAGTGTCTCTACTTTAAAGAGTCCTCTCCTACTGATGTTCAGGTGTATATCAGTATGTAGTGTCTCTACTTTAAAGAGTCCTCTCCTCCTGATGTTCAGGTTGTATATCAGTATGTAGTGTCTCTACTTTAAAGAGTCCTCTCCTGCTGATGTTCAGGTGTATATCAGTATGTAGTGTCTCTACTTTAAAGAGTCCTCTCCTGCTGATGTTCAGGTGTATATCAGTATGTAGTGTCTCTACTTTAAAGAGTCCTCTCCTCCTGATGTTCAGGTGTATATCAGTATGTAGTGTCTCTACTTTAAAGAGTCCTCTCCTGCTGATGTTCAGGTGTATATCAGTATGTAGTGTCTCTACTTTAAAGAGTCCTCTCCTGCTGATGTTCAGGTGTATATCAGTATGTAGTGTCTCTACTTTAAAGAGTCCTCTCCTGCTGATGTTCAGGTGTATATCAGTATGTAGTGTCTCTACTTTAAAGAGTCCTTGTTTTGTTTTTACCTGTCAGACTCGTTTCTGTCGTGCCGCTGCTTTGAGTAGGAGCTCTGCTGTTCTTCCCGCTCGTCCAACATGGAGGAGTCAGAAACATCACGAGGGGCCAAAACCCCAGATATCTGCGTGCGCGCCAACTCTGCCATCTGACAAGAACACAATACATACATCAGATGATTTATTTAAAGGTAGGGTAGGTAAGAATGGAGAAAGCAGCTTGAGTGCGCTAGAATTTGAAAGTACGCAGCCTAAAGAAATCTGCCCCTTCCTTCAGACTTCCTCACAGAGCCCCTCCTCCAACACACACATGACCAATGAGGGCACGAGATACGTTTGTGAGAGAGAGAGAGAGGGGGAGAGAGAGTGCTTCCTCTCATTTCTCCCGTGTTATTCTCCAAAGTTAATGTAAACTTGAATAATGTACTTCATTTGAATGTAATAATGATGTTGGTTGCTGTTTGTGGAAGCGCCAGTGAATGAGCATTAACTGAGTTTTAAACATCACTTTAAATGGAAGATCCCCATAGGCCCCGCCCACTCGATCGGATCGGCCGATACTGATTCCGGCGATCGGCCCCAAAATTGGCGATGGGAGCATCCCTACTGCTGTGCAATCTGATACTGGTGGTACCTGTAAATGTCGTTAGGTATGTAAATTGTAAATCCCTGTATCTATGCTGTATGATGTCCTTTTTGTTTTTCTGTTGTTTTCTGTCTTCATGTGGAACCTACTTGCAGCAGGTCTCCCTTGAGATGGGATTCACCTGCTTAAATAAAGGTTTGAAATTAAATGAAATCGTTGGAGTGGAATCCAGTTAAACGTCCAGTAGATGTCTCGAGTGCCTTTCAAGTGGGGAAACTGCATCAAATTCAGATAGTTATCACCGCAATAAACCGTATTTAATTTAGTCTTAATTTACATTATTTAATTTCATATTCTGTTCTTTGCACTGGCTTCTAATACTCGTTGAACATAACATTTGTATGTGTTTTTTTATCATGTTTTTAATTATTGTTTGACTCCCATTGTGTTATTCTATATTGTATGCATTCCCTGTACAGCACTGACAAACTGAGGTTGTTTTAAATGTGCTATATAAATGAATAAAGATTGAGATTGATTGTACATATCATATTCTATTGACATGTATATAGACTTTTTGCACTACTTTGTATTTGTGTATTGTATTATATATGTATATATGTCCTCGTTGGAGGAGCTCAGGTCAGAAGGATTTCATTGCCATTTCTACACTTTAGCTTATGTGCATATGACGATAAAACCTTTGAATCTTGAATTGAATTGCGCCTTCCTCCTCTGCAGTCATTGTGTTCCCTTTACTGAAACTCAAAGATCTATCAGGAACACAATAGGGGTATTTATTGATCTACAAAAAAGCCTTTCATACCATAGATCAGGGCTATTCAATTGGCGGCCCGCGGGCCAAATCCGGCCCCGGGTGATATTTACGGGCCCTTTGAGTATAATGTTAAAAAGTTATCTAATTATTTATTTTTTTTAAGATTTTTTTTTTTTGGGGACCAGAGTGCCTTTATTCCAGAGAGGGTTTTACATTAGGCGCTTTCACACCAAGTACTTTGCCGTACTTAGTTCATCAGAACTCTTTAGTTCTGATGAACTAATTAGTTCTCATGAACTAAGTACAGATCGCGTTCACACCGGAATAAGTTCCTGAGGGAGGATTAGGCAAATGAAGCCGCTGACGTCACTTCTTCTTCTGCTTTGGGTTTACTGGCAGGCCGCAAAAAACTTCACGGCGTATACTGCCACCCGAAGTCCCCGGACTTCAGTAGAAGCTGCTGGGACTCCCAGCAGCTTCTACTGAAGCCTTCCGAGTAAATCGCCAGAACGCCGACACCTCCTCATCTCCACCGCTCCCATGCTTTCTTTGGTGTTGCCATAAGTTAGTCTCTCTCCGTTGGTGCGCGGAGCTAATGCTAATGCTAATAATGCTAATGCCAGCAAATAAAATGGCGGCTTCACAAAACCTTTTGGGAGTTTTACGGGGCGTGGTTTTCAATCCGCCCAGCCAATCAAAAATGGGAACCTTTTTCTCCCATGAAAGTACCTGCTCTCTAGCAGGGACGGAAAAGGGGGTGGAAAAGGGTTCTCATGAACTAAGTTCTAGTTCGGGATTTTTTTGTGTGTAAACGCACATTTTCGGAACTATATCGGAACTACACTGGGAAAAGTACTCCGGTGTGAAAGCGCCTATTGAGAGATAGAGGGGAAGACATTGCCTGAACACTTCTGCCGGCTCGGGTTTCAAACCCACCTACTAGCTACTGGAGTGACAACTCAAAATGTATTGCATCTCTGCGTGAATGATTAGATCATTTCACCTAAATGAAATCAAATGAAATGATGTTGATGGTTAAGTGAGCTTCACATGTAGGCCTACTGAGTTCTGAACTTGCCATTTAGATCTGTAAAGGCCTTGGGGCTTTGTTGTTTGATTTAATTTAAACACAATATATGCACTCCACTATGCTGTTGTAGTATTTACTGTATCTGAAGCTCTTAATATGATTGCTCATATTTCAAGCCATCTTTTTCCCGGCCCGTCGCTTTGGATCATTTTCATCAACCGGCCCCATTCCAAACTAATTGAATAGCCCTGCCATAGACCATAACATCCTGATATCTAAATTGCACACTTACGGAATGAGAGGAATAGCTCAGAACTGGATAGGAAGTTATTTGAAGAATAGACAACAATATGTACAATTTCATGGTAATACGTCTAATTCTATGAAGATTAAATGTGGAGTCCCACAAGGTTCAGTTTAGGGTCCAAAACTCTTTCATTTGTCTATTAATGACATTTGAGACACCTCAAAGTTACTTCAATTTTTTCAGTTCAGGGGATGATTGAACTATTTGGGGCAGAAAGTATTACAAAAGAAATGGTAGAAATCAGCTGTTGTTCCCGGATGGATCCCCAGAGGGACGCTCACCTCTCGGATGTGTCGGGCGGTGTCGGCCGTGTACCGCGCCGCCTCCGTCTGCTGACTCATCATCTCCTTAGCCGCCTCCTGAAGACCCACCAACGTCTCCTTCTGATTCGACGCCAAGCTCTCCTGCAGTTGATGAGCCTGGACATCACACACACAGAGAGAGAGAGAGAGAGAGAGAGAGAGTGAGTGTGAGTGTGAGTGAGTGTGTGTGTCTGTATGTATGACTGAGTGAGTGAGTCTCTCTGTGTGTGTGTGTGTGTGTGTGTGTGTGTGTGTGTGTGTGTGTGTGTCTCTGTGTGTGAGTGTGTGCATGTATGACTGAGTGAGTGAGTGAGCGTGTGTGTGAGTGTGTGTGTGTGTTACCCTGGCCACTCTCTGTCTGTTCTCCTCCAGCTGTAGTTGCGTCTCCAGCGCTTCTCTCTCAGCTTTGATCTTCAGTTCGTAGAGGTCACGAGCGTGAGCCAGCTGCCGTGCCTGAAGGGTCAAAGGTCAGAGAGCAGGTCAGTTCAGAGCGTCAAGATTCAAGGCTTTTATTGTCATTTGTACATTAGCTACAGTTTAGAAATGTCAATGAAATTCTGAGGTCACAGATCACCTCTAACAGTGCAACACAATAAAAACAGATAAAATAGAACAGAAACAAACATTCTATTTCAGAGCATCGATACAGACATAAGTCTCTGAAGTGCATGGAGTTATTCATCATTTTTCTTTAATTATAAAGCCAACAATTCATTTCTTCTGTACTGTTTTTATTTATTCTCATGTTGAGTATATTGTACGCTGCACAGTTGAAGGGACTTTGCATTTTCATTGCCATCAACTCCACTGTAGCTATTGTGCAGATGACAATAAAACCTTTGAATATTGAATGCATAGAATCAACACACTACAGGAAAGGGGAAACACCAAAAAGCACAGAGAACTGTTAACCCCTAAAACTCGACTTCACTAAACTGCAGAGCGTCTTTGTAGTGCTGTACGACACAATTACTTGATTTGATTTGATTTATTTCGAATGTGTAAAACAATAATACAAAAGAATTAAAAGTATAATGAAATTTAACATGAGAATTATATATAAACAAATTATCTACTTAATTACACACCCGAAAAGAGGTGGGAAGAAGTTTACACTTATTTAATCCCACCCCTTCTCCCAAAGACTAAATTATTAACATATATTTTTTATTTTTCCTAAAGAAATATATTTGTTATTGAAAAACAAAAACATAAAATAAATAAACAGATAAATAGACAAACAAATACATAAAACAGCTAAATGGTAATCAAGAAAAAATAACAAACCAAATAAATAAACCGTAAACACCCAGTTATGATTAAACTACTACTCCTACTACCACTACTCCTCCTACTACTACTCCTACCACTACTCCTCCTCCTACTACCACTACTACCACCACTACCACTACTACTACTACAACAACTACTACAACAACTACAACTACTCCTACTATTATTACTCCTACAACTACCACTACAACTCCTACCACTCCTACTACCACTCCTACTACTCCTCTTACTACTACCACTACTACTACTCCTACTACCACTACCACTACCACCACTACTACTACTACTACAACAACAACTACTACTACTCCTACTATTACTCCTACTACTCCTACTACTACTATTACTCCTACAACTACCACTACTACTACTCCAACTACTCCTACTCCTACTACTACTCCTACTACTAAATTACTCTCAGCATTGAACCCCTTCCTCACCTTGAGCATCTGGGCCAATGAGACGCTCTCCTGCTGAGCCATGGAGACTCCCATCACCCGCTCCACGTCTCCCAGCTGACGCACCGACTCCTCCATGGTCTCCAGGTGATGAAGCTCTGCGGCCATACGCTGCTGAAGGACAGCAGGGGAGTACTGCAGGTCACCTGGGAGAGGAGAGGGTACAAGTGTTTTGTGTTCAAAATGTAAGAAGTCAAAGTAAAAAGTCGTCAGAAAAATAAGTAGCGGAGTAAAGTACTGATACCAGAAAAATGTACTTAATGTTTAGTTCAGATTACCTCCACGTCAGAAATTATCATGCTTGTCATATGTCTATCTCCATAGAGGCTGAATCATCATGTTAATCACATAGCTATCATATGCCTCAAACAGTCCTGATGCTCTTCTAGGTAATCATACATCCTGTCATGTACACAGCTACAGTTATCATTGTTATCATGTTACTCTCAGATTGGAAGAGGACATTCAGTATTTTACCAACAGTAACTGTCTATCTGGAAAGCTTTTGTAATACATAGCACAGTTGAAATCACATATTCTTCTAGGTACGCTCTAATTCATATAACATGTGTTGTTTATGATATAAATATGAGTTTTGTGTACCTGTGGTCTTGGTCTCGGCTCTTCCACTGCGCGCTGAGGTGTTTGGGTTATTCCCCCCCAGAGAGCCACTCCTCTCACCGGGAGAGTTTCCTCCTGGAGGAGAGCCGGAGGACGAAGGAGACGCCTTTCTGTGTCTGAGCGCTGAAGACTTCTTACTGTCAAGTCCAAAACAAAGAGTATGATTAATAAAGGAACAAAGGAGAAAACAAAGCTCAGGTAAGCACACACAGATCCTATGAAGTGGATATGTTTGTAGCATCAAGATAAGATAGGACTTTATTTATCCCGAAAGAAATGGTCGTGCCAGAGTTACAAAAATATAACACAGCAGCATAATAATAAAACTGTACACTAACAGTGCCGTGAAAAGAGCAATGAAATGACTACAGGAAACAAAGACGGTCACATCATTAATGTAAAATACTGGACAGTGACGAGCTGTATTTAGTAGTGCAAAAAGAATGCACTGGCAGATACGTAATTACACGTTCTTATAGAACATTATTAATAATAATAATAATATTGCTATATAGCAGAGAGTTTTGTGATGATGGTAATGGTTAGGGATGCTCCGATCGATCGGTGCTCTCTAAAAATGCCGATCGCGAGAGCCGATCGCATGACGTGAAATACATGACACTTTTCTCTGTGCGCGGCAAAACAAGCTCGCCAAAATGGCTTCACCAGTCTGGCTAGTATTTGAAGGTGTCCGAAAAAGTTAAATAGTGGTATGCAGACGTGTGTGGAAGGCAGAAATCCTGCCAGCTCCACCGCTCTGTGACGGACCGTGAGGTGAGCGGAACCAGAAACACACATTAAGGAAAGTTAGACTAACCACACTTAAGCTTATTTTATCTACCTCTGGAACTAGCTAAACTAGTTATAAATATATTTATTCTTCACTGTCGGGTCATTACTGGATCAGTGAGCTGCATGAGACAATACTGACAGGCTGTCAGGAGAGAGAGAGAGAGAGAGAGCGAGAGACAGAGACAGAGACAGAGACAGAGACAGACAGAGAGAGAGAGAGAGAGAGAGACAGAGAGAGAGAGAGAGAGAGAGAGAGAGAGAGAGAGACAGAGAGAGACAGAGAGAGACAGAGAGAGAGAGCGCTTCCGCTCATCTCCCGTGTTATTATCCAAAGTTAATGTAAACTTGAATAATGTACTTCATCTGAATGTAATAATTATGTTGGTTGTTGTTTGTGGAAGCTCCAGTGAATGAGCATTAACTGAGTTTTAAACATCACTTTAAATGGAAGACCCCCATAGGCCCCGCCCACTCGATCGGAATCGGCCGATACTGATTCCGGCGATCGGCCCCAAAATTGTCGATGGGAGCATCCCTAGTCATGGTATGTATATATTGCACATAGTGGTTAAGAAGGACTCAGGTGGATGGGCTTCTCTGCATGGGAATCAGAAATAGATGTTTTAAAGATGTTTTTAAAACAATATACATTTAGTGAAAGAGGTTTTTGAATAGGGCAGCAGCTCATCAAGATGTCTATTTAGTACAAACCAGCACTTCCTCTATTTGTATTCAACAGGAAATGTGTTGTATTTTAAGCAGTGCAAATAAAGAAGAAGCAAAACTGAGTACACATTTAACATGTTCCTCCAGATTCTGAAACTGTACAAGAGAGGAGAGATTGTTTATAGCTTTGCAGAGAGGGTTAACCAAATGATGAAGATACAAGAGGGGCCCCTCGTCCTGAGCAGCAGGGAGGGAGGATGGATGAAGCATGAATGGGTTTATTGTGCTGCTGGGAAGCCCAACGCCTCAGAGATCAGGGTGTACTTTCACTTTGAGAGCAGATCGTTAGAAAAGATACGCACAGAGAGGGCAAAAGTACACACATCCTTCACTCAAGTAGAAGTACACACATCCTTTACTCAAGTAGAAGTACACACATCCTTCACTCAAGTAGAAGTACACACATCCTTTACTCGAGTAGAAGTACACACATCCTTTACTCAAGAAGTACACACATCCTTCACTCAAGTAGAAGTACACACATCCTTCACTCAAGTAGAAGTACACACATCCTTTACTCAAGTAGAAGTACACACATCCTTTACTCAAGTAGAAGTACACACATCCTTCACTCAAGTAGAAGTACACACATCCTTTACTCAAGTAGAAGTACACACATCCTTCACTCAAGTAGAAGTACACACATCCTTCACTCAAGTAGAAGTACACACATCCTTTACTCAAGTAGAAGTACACACATCCTTCACTCAAGTAGAAGTACACACATCCTTTACTCAAGTAGAAGTACACACATCCTTCACTCAAGTAGAAGTACACACATCCTTTACTCAAGTAGAAGTACACACATCCTTCACTCGAGTAGAAGTACACACATCCTTTACTCGAGTAGAAGTACACACATCCTTTACTCAAGAAGTACACACATCCTTCACTCAAGTAGAAGTACACACATCCTTCACTCAAGTAGAAGTACACACATCCTTCACTCAAGTAGAAGTACACACATCCTTTACTCAAGTAGAAGTACACACATCCTTCACTCAAGTAGAAGTACACACATCCTTTACTCGAGTAGAAGTACACACATCCTTTACTCAAGTAGAAGTACACACATCCTCAACATGTAAGAAGTAGAAAGTACAGGTATTTGTGTTCAACATGTAAGAAGTAGAAGTAAAAAGTCGTAGTAGTGGAGTAAAGTACTGATACCAGAAAAGTGTACTTAAGTACAGTAACGAAGTATTTGTACTATCCACTACTTCCCACCTCTGGATACGGATATGAATGCTCTCTGCTTAAAGTCTATATAACTCTGAAAAGTGATGCACGAGCCTTTACTAAAGAAACACAAAATCAGTACTTCAAGTTCAACAACAACCTGCCGGAAACACTCCCGTCTGAAAGTCTGAAGTGCCCCGATAAACATTCATCTGTTTGTCATCATGCAATCTACTTGTCTATCTAAATAGTTATCACCGCAATAAACCATATTTAATTGTGTCTTAATGTACATTATTTAATTTGATATTCTGTTATTGTACATATCATACTCTACTTACATGTAGATAGACTTCTTACACTATTTTATTATATACCGTGGAGGAAATTAGTATTTGATCCCCTGGAGATACTCATTGAAATGATAGACTGTTCATTTATTTGCATGTGGGCAAACAGGGAATCAAATACTCATTTCCTCCACTGCGTGTTGCATTGTTGGAGGAGCTCAGCTCAGAAGGATTGCATTGAAATGTCTAAACTGTAGCTGCTGTGCATATGACAATAAAACCTTTGAATCTTTGAAAATGGCATGCCTTCACCCTGAGAGGAATCTGCCACCTGGGCTTTGTGAGCAGCGTTAGACGTCTCAAATATCACTACTGGGCGCTGAGATTAAAAGGGAAAATAACTCTCTCCTTCCCTTGGCTTTGGGCCCAGGACCCTGAGGGCCTCCAGAACAAAACAGCCTCTGTCTCTGGTCCAACTGCAGCAGCTGCTCAGACCCTCCAGTAGTGTTTAGACTGGCAGGCTGCACTCTTAAAGGTCTCCTATCATGCTATTTTTAGGCATATATTATAAGGTCTCAGATGTATATCAAAATGGTAACACTTTATTTTTGAAAAAGGTACACATATTCGCCATCAACTAGTTATTAATTAACATGCATATTAGCAGTGTATTGGCTCTTTATTAGTCATCATAAACAGTGTTGGGCGAGTTACTTCCAAAATGTAATACAGTACATATTACTGTCTTTTTTAAGTAATAAGTTACATTACAATATTACTGTCTCTGAAATGTACACTACTTTTATATTACTTTTGAGATACTTTCACCAAAATAACCGCAAAAGAATGGCTAGGTATTTGAAATGCTAAAATGTAGTTTAGTGCAGCTCATTATACATCCAGTGAAGGGCGATGTGGTATAGCAACAACTGGGTAGGCCATTAAGGCTACTAACAACTTGTATTACACGGCTTAGTTGAATACTGGATTCTGATTGTAAATTCAGAACATGTGACACGTTGTTAATACAGCAGTACAGACCACTGTCAAGGACTATGATGAAGGTTGCTAAGGAGGATCAAGAAAGAGAAAAGAGAAGAGGTTAAAAGACGGAGCGCTGGACATCAGATAAATCACCAGAAGAAGACAGACAGGAAGTAAACACTAACAGGAACACGGAATGGGCTCTGTAGTTTGTTTAGTATATGGCCGTGTAATAAGCGGGATAGTGTGCAGCGAGGCGGTCATTGTGGGGAAAAGAACATCCGACAGGCGGGTCAGGGAACCCGACACGAAGCGGAGGGATCTTGATGAGCCTGAAGGGTAAACAGCAGGTTTCCTAATCGACCCTCTCTGGTGTCGGAATGTCTCGCGATGTTGGTACATTCTTAAAAAACAAAACACCATTTAATTCTGGGCTAAAATGTGTTGTAACTGCGCTACTGAGAATGGTAACGGGTAGTATATTACCCACATTTCATTAGTAATGCGTTACATTACTTCGTTACAGCAAAAAGTAATACATTACTGTAACGCATTACACCCAACACTGATCATAAAACACTTATGACTGCCTTATTCTACATGACCATATTCTACAGTACTAGGCACATTTTTTAAGAGTTTTTCCTCAATAACCCTCTTACCGCCTTAATTAGTGCTTATTTATTGTAAGTCAGGACGTTGTTGTACATGAGTTTGGGTCTTAATATGCTCAATATGGGCCTAATAAGGCATTCTCTCATAACACCTAACAAATATGGTCTATTCTTATGTAACAAGACATGAAACTAAAAGTATTAATTGTGTCAAAATTACTCAAAATGTGGTGTTTCTAACTCAGAATATGTTGAAAGTGAAGTCTTGTATCATAACTGATAAGCTGGTAGTTTGACTCGAATATGTTAATGAACAACTAGTTGATGGTGAATATGTGTAACCTTAATCTAAAGTGTTACCATACAAATATATATATAAAACATGTCTATGAAGTGTTTTGCTCAAAATACCAAACAGATCCTTTTAGCCTCAAACCCCTCTATTTCAGCGGTTACTAAAGTGCTGATTCTGGGTCAGTAGCTTTAACAAATAAAAGTAAAAAATACTAAGCTAAACGCTGCCGTGATTAAACACAAATAAATATATATATGACCATGAACATATCATGTTCCAAACCACATCAAGGATTCTCTCTGAAACAGCATGGAGCTCAAACTCTTTCTCTCTCTCAGGTTTACCACAAGGTGAGTTCCTTCTGATTTCCTGCTTCTTCACACATGCTCTCTCCAGTACAGGTTAGCTCTGAGTGTTAGCATGCTAATGTGAACACAGACCATATTACTTCCAGAACACGTCTCATTGTTTCTGACAGCAACGTTTCTGATTGGCCCGTTGGTGTAAAGCCCGCCCACATTTTAGTAATGCCGTCATGACGCAGCAAATCTGGATCAGCTCCGTTGTTCCCCCGTTTTTAGAGATGTGGGTACGGAGGAAAAGAGAGAGGGGTTTGTTTCCTGACACTTTGTGAGTCTCCTGACACACCGGGGACACACCGGGGACACACCAGGGACACATAGGGACACACCAGGGACACACCGGGGACACACCGGGGACACACCGGGGACACACCGGGGACACACCGGGGACACACCGGGGGGACACCGGGGACACACCGGGGGGACACCGGGGACACACCGGGGACACACCGGGGACACACCGGGGACACACCGGGGGGACACCAGGGACACACCGGGGACACACCAGGGACACACCAGGGACACATGTTGATGTATATAGGACATAACAAAAGTGCATTTTGTATAATAGGAGAGCTTTAAAGCGCAGTTTACGGACCTCTGCATCACTCTCAGTTTTTAAGAAGACCCACCTGTTCCCGCACCGCATTTTACTGACTGTCATTTATTTTAATTCTGACCTTTTATGCTCTTAGCCTTTTTTATATAACCATATTTGATTCAATATGCTCCTTAGATAACTTTGTATTGTATTGTATTTTCTCCTCATTGTGAAGCACCTTGAGATGACGTTGTTTTTAAAAGTGTGCTATATAAAAGGGAAATATATTATTATGATTAGTTTAGAAATGAGTCACGCCCAGATAAATGAACCTTATAATATGTACAAAGTGGAGGTTTCTGAGTGGGAAAGCTGAGTTGACCCAGCGATGAAAAGATCTCTTTCAGCTCTGAGTGCACGTAGATTTTATTTAAGCTCGACATACTTTGGAGAGGAAACAGTGCGGCTTCACGGGCTAATCTTGGTTTGAATTTGCATCCAGAGAAAAGGAAATAAGGCAGATACTATCATGCTGGCAGGCTAATAGTCAAATGCAGCAGTTCTGCACTCGAGGTAACAGACACCCAGGAAGGAAGGAAATGCCAGAGACACCAGGATGTGCAGGTTATTTTAACCTGTAGGAGGGCTGCATATTTAATTAATGTTATTAAAATGGCAAAAGTTCAAATACAAGGAAGCACAATATTTGGTCAAGGCTAAATATAAGTTAAAGGTCACCTATCATGCTATTATTAGGCAATAGCATAGGTCTCAGATATATACAAATATATAAAAAACATTCAAACTGCAAATATCCCAACCTTCAAATCCTTTCCCATATAATAATGATAATGAGAATCTTGTAGCCCTAACTGTGGGAACACCATCCTCTTGATCACCGCTCATTTGCTCCATTTTGATACCTTAGAGTTGCTTTAGTTTAAAGGTCTCCTATTACACTATTTGTAGGCATTGTATAGGTCTCAGATATATAAAGAACATGCTTATGAAGTGTTTTGCTCAAAATACCAAACAGCTCACTCATTCTAGCCTCAAACCCCTCTGTTTCAGCCTGTTAGATAAGTCTAATGGCGCATTTCCACTGCAGCGTGTAGCGCGGTTTAAGCGTGCCGTGCCAAAGCCGGCCCGTTTTTTGTTGCGTTTCCACTAGGGGTAGTTCCGGCTAACGGGTACTTTTTCACAGTTTTTCTGGCTCTCCAAAATCGAGGTTCTTTCTGGGCCAACAACCGGGCTGAGTATGCTAAACTAGTGAGAGAATCGCTGGCAAGGGGGCTACAACTACAACAAGATGGACATATTTGACCGTGATTTAATTGTAATACACGTTTCAAAATGATGCCGAAGTAACAACATACTGATACCGGTTAGTAAAAACCATGAATTAATGCTTTGACAAGTCTGCAGACAGACGGCAGGCGAAACACCTTTTAAAATGCTTGTTTTCTAAATGGAGATTGGCTAAGCTAACGCAGTATATGCTCCGACCGTCCACACTCACAACAACGGCCTACAGACATAAATAAAGCAGCGACTGTATTCACCATGACACAGGCAGTCTGTGGTTTGTACTTGTTTCACTTTTGTCTAGTTTCTGAACAGATATGAGGAGCTGTGAGCTCTGTGGGCTAACAGCTAACGGCTGATGTTGGTTTTGTGTTTCTCATTGAAGATGACGTCACGGCTCCGCCTACACTGCGTTACCATAGTTACTGCCCCAGCTACTAAACTGTAATGGAAACGCAGCATAAAGGGAGCCTGGCCTACCAAGGCCTAACTATACCGTACTGAGCCGTGCGAGGCCCTGCAGTGGAAAAGCACCATAATTGTGGAAACACCTCTTGATCAGCGCTCATTTGCTCCAGCTTGATACCTTTGAGTTGCTTTTACATCGTCAAAAAGAACACAAACTCACGTTCACTTTAGTGTGATTTAATATATATAGTGTTACCTGTGGTGAGAAAGCTCTGTTGCTTCCCCTGAAGCCTCGTTAGAGCGGACGCTTCTGGCCTGGCTGTTGGGAGAGCTTTTGTCCGAGCCTCTCCTCCTGGAGTCGGAGGATAAAGCGTCTGAAGGAGGAGAGCAGGAGCTGTGATCCTCCACCAGAGTGCCATCGCTGTGGTCTGACGCTGCGCCTGCAGAGGAACACAGAGGTTATGAGAGGGGTTTGTAGCAGAGAGGGCAAGAGTACACACATCCTTTACTCAAGTAGAAGTACACACATCCTTTCCTCAAGTAGAAGTACAGATACTCGTGTTTAAAAGTACTCTGGTGAAAGTAGAAGTACTGACTAAACTTCTTTACTCAAGTAAAAGTAAAGAGAGCTTTGAAATGTACTTCAGTAAAAAGTACCCATAACTAGCAGCTGTTTTAAAGAGTACCTGACCTCCCTTTATATTAATAGAACAATAATGTCATTGTTAGCTAATGAATGTTTCCATGCTGAACAACGGCAACATGACAACGTTTTCATTGGTCCCTCTTCTTTAGAGAAGACCAGGAAATGATGGATACACGGATCGTGTTCAAATCAATAGGCACGCAATGACTCTAAATAATAATGATCACGCCACCAAACACACATTCAAACTAAAGGAACCAGCCTGTTTGGAAAATGAGAGAAGTAGAAAGTACAGGTATTTGGGTTCAACATGTAAGAAGTAGAAAGTACAGGTATTTGTGTTCAAAATGTAAGAAGTAGAAAGTACAGGTATTTGTGTTCAACATGTAAGAAGTAGAAAGTACAGGTATTTGTGTTCAACATGTAAGAAGTAGAAAGTACAGGTATTTGTGTTCAACATGTAAGAAGTAGAAAGTACAGGTATTTGTGTTCAACATGTAAGAAGTAGAAAGTACAGGTATTTGAGTTCAACATGTAAGAAGTAGAAAGTACAGGTATTTGTGTTCAACATGTAAGAAGTAGAAAGTACAGGTATTTGTGTTCAACATGTAAGAAGTAGAAAGTACAGGTATTTGGGTTCAAAATGTAAGAAGTAGAAAGTACAGGTATTTGTGTTCAACATGTAAGAAGTAGAAAGTACAGGTATTTGGGTTCAACATGTAAGAAGTAGAAAGTACAGGTCTTTGTGTTCAACATGTAAGAAGTAGAAAGTACAGGTATTTGTGTTCAACATGTAAGAAGTAGAAAGTACAGGTATTTGTGTTCAACATGTAAGAAGTAGAAAGTACAGGTATTTGTGTTCAACATGTAAGAAGTAGAAAGTACAGGTATTTGGGTTCAACATGTAAGAAGTAGAAAGTACAGGTATTTGTGTTCAACATGTAAGAAGTAGAAAGTACAGGTATTTGTGTTCAACATGTAAGAAGTAGAAAGTACAGGTATTTGAGTTCAACATGTAAGAAGTAGAAAGTACAGGTATTTGTGTTCAACATGTAAGAAGTAGAAAGTACAGGTATTTGTGTTCAACATGTAAGAAGTAGAAAGTACAGGTATTTGGGTTCAAAATGTAAGAAGTAGAAAGTACAGGTATTTGTGTTCAACATGTAAGAAGTAGAAAGTACAGGTATTTGGGTTCAACATGTAAGAAGTAGAAAGTACAGGTATTTGGGTTCAAAATGTAAGAAGTAGAAAGTACAGGTATTTGTGTTCAACATGTAAGAAGTAGAAAGTACAGGTATTTGGGTTCAAAATGTAAGAAGTCAAAGTAAAAAGTCGTCAGAAAAATAAGTAGTGGAGTAAAGTACTGATACCAGAAACATGTACAGTAACAAAGTATTTGTACTCCACTACTTCCCACCTCTGGTTTGTAGCCATGTTTCCATATAGAGAGCATTTGATTGATTTCCTTTTATATATAAAAAGAAGAATGATCTAAATCGCTCACCTATTCTTCTGGCGGAGGGTTTTGAGGAGGCAGGAGTTGATCCGGAGGAGAGATGAGGGGAGTGAATAGAGGAGTGAATAGACGAGTGAAAGGATGAATGCTGGGAACTGATGCCTCCTGTACTTTTGTCATACGGTGACCTCCTCATCAGCTCCTCAAAGTGACTGTTCACACTGACACAGAGCAGAGAGAAAACACACCATCAATCACTTCTAAAACACAGATCAGTATCCGATACACAACACAAAAATATATATATATATCCTTTACCCGCCACTGAGCCTGCAAACCCGTTCTGAAGAAATGTGCAGTGCCAAACAGGCTCATTGCAGCCACCTGTGATAAGACACACCTTTTGCCAAATATCAGCATTTTCTTACTTTTCATTTTTTGGCACAGATTGCAAAGTGGCAAAGTATTATAACTTATTGTTCTAGCAAAGGGTATGCACAATTATATTATGTATTTATTTATTTGAGCACACAGATTTATGGAGCATTGTTTTATTATCACTGTTCTAGCAAAGTGATTATTTTTATCATATTGATGTATTTTAATAAATGTTAACTTGGCCCAATACGTGACTATTTGTGTTGGGGGGGCCGACTTTTTTTTTCTCCAAAGGGGGGCCTGACAAAAAGTTTGAGAGCCACTGCATTAGTGTGACGTGACTGCCATCTAGTGGTCACTTTAAAAACTGCCTTCCACTCATTCATTTCTTACCTGCGTGAGTTGGAGCCTCTCTTTAACTGTGCGCTCGCTCCGCTGCTGTGCAATGACACAAAGTCGTCTTCATACACCGCTGCGTCTACGGGGCCGTTAGCAGAGGGAGGAGAGAGAGCAGAGGGGGAGATTCTCTCACTCCCTGCAGGAAGAGAGGGAGACACAACAGACAGGAGACATATTAAGGATCATTTAGCAGCCAGGTATATATTGTACAGTTATTAACGGCATATATATATATATATATATATATATATATATATTGCACATCATTTGTATTTCACAGCAAGTTGTTGGTATGAACACTACAGTTTGATGCGTGTAGCTCTCCAAGTTACACATTTCCACATTGATCCAACACCAGGTTGAGTTGCACACAAAAAGGATGTGGAACAAAAATACTATATATATATACATCTTCACAGGTACAGGCAACAATAGAAATGGATAACATAGCAGGAGGCAGAGGAAAGGAAATGGATGTGCAGTATTAACAATATCTACATAGGCTAGAAGGAGGGGTGACTGGAAGTAAAGGTCAGACGATGCAATTTGTGTGTGTTTTACAGAATGCTGATATAAAATATAAAACGCCTAACCAACAGGCTGGCTCCCAATGACGGATTAAAGGTGGTTTTAAGAGCTTTTGGGGTTTGTGTGTGTGTGTACATCTGGCTCTGACACTAGCCAGTACCTCCCAATACATAGACCTCAGTGGAAAGGTACTGTTTACTAATAGGGGTGGGGGAAATCATCGATACAGCAGAGTATCGCGATGCTTTGCGATATTGTATCGATACACGGACGCCAAGTATCGATATTTTATTATATGTAACTATTCATATTGCAAATCCAAATGAACGTTCTTGCTAACAATTGCTTTTTCAATCCACTAGATGGCGCTGAGCTTCTTCATGTGCGGTCATGGCCATGGGTAAAGAGAGTGGGATTGGCAGGAAGTTAGTCAAAACTAAATATGTAAATATATATATCGTAATATATTCGTATCGCAATACTTAGCATATCGTAAAATCGCAATACTATACAATACTATCCTGGCTTTCTTGTACATATCATATTCTATTTACTTTTTATTATATATGTTGCCTTGTTGGAGGAGTTCAGGTCAGAAGAATTTCATGGCCATTTCTAAACTGTAGCTTTGTGCATATGACAATAAAACCGTTTGAATCTTGAAAAAGTATTGCAACAGCATGGTATCATTACTAACCTGTAAGTCTTCCCTGAAGGTTCTTGGTGTAGATGTTGATGACGCTCAGAGGGCTCCCTTTGTTCAGCTCCTCCCAGGGTGCTTTGCTGCTGTCGTGCTGTGTGAAGCTGAGGGTTGAGCACCTGGCCGCCTCCCTCTGAAACTCCGACAGCCTGTGGTAGTCCTTCCTCTGCCCCGCGCAGTACTCCGCTGCCTCCAGACGCTCTGCTGCTGCTGCTGCTGCTCGGGGGAAACGACCGTGTGAGGAGGAGGAGGGGTGAGGAGGACTTACATCATCCTCAGAGAAACTCCCCTCACTCAGCAGAGGACCCTCGCTGATGGACCCGGCACTGGAGTCAAGAGTCCCATTCTTATCCTCTCTTCTTGATTCTCCGTTATCCATTCTCTCCACTCGGTCCAAGCCGTTGACCAGCCTCTCCCTCTCATGTGTGTTGAGCCCTGTCTCGTCTGCAGGTGTGTGTGGATTGTTTGTAAAGGTGTGTGTACCCTTGTTGTCTTTCTGTCCCCTGAGTGCATGTAGATTTCCTGCTCCTGGTAGAGCCGTGCCATTGTATGAACTTGTATGACCTGTGCTGGTCAGAATCCTCTGGATCCTCGACGCCACGTCATCGTTTTCGGCCCAGCTTCCAGCGTCAGGATCCCCTTGAGAGGGTCTTATAACATCCATGGGGGTTTCTAAATCTGAATCAGAATCAGAAAGAGGGTTAGTACCAGGTGGGTAGACACGTACGAGGAATTTGACTTGGTGTGGTGGTGCAAACATAAAAATTAAACAAAAATTAAAAACACAGATAGAAAACTATTTTAAGAAAACTATAATAACATAAAAAAATTAAAACAAATATAGTCAAATATAGCAGTATTTACATTGAAATAATGGAATTGTTATGGCAGATTCCTTATTACAGCGTATTTCTGGCTCATAGAGAGGCGAAGTCCCTCCTCTTCCGGGGGACCTCCATGGGACCTTATTTCGGAAAAGTTATGCATTGAAGTCAATGGGGAGAGAAAGATTATCTCTCGATCCCGTTTGAATTGTGCCACGAATTACACATATGATGTTTGTCAATTTAAAAGATAATTTTGCAAGTAAAAAAAATAAAAATGTGTGAAGTAACACTTTTTTTGTGTGAAACCTCTCAATGAACTACATCTCCCGTCTCGCACCACACACCCAGACGGCCGTCACGTTGGCACATTTCACTTCTTTCTTTCAGAATGAGGTGGAAAGTATTAAAAGAGATGAAAATCACTCCAAGTCTGGGCATGTTGAGAGCTGTACATACACACAAGGGGAGTTAGTCGGTTCCTAAGAGCCAGCATGCGGGACCGGGACTCTGGGATTTGTAGTCTTTCTAGTTGCCTATTTTTCATAGTCTTATATTTCAACAGTTTTACGACAAACTGTGACTTTTTTGACGTGGAAATTATTATTTAAGATTGACAAACATCATATGTGTAATTTGTGGCACAATTCAAACGGGATCGAAAGATAATCTTTCTCTCCCCATTGACTTCAATACATACTTTTTCCGAAATAAGGTCCCATGGGTCGGAAGTAGATGGGCGGGACTTCGCCTCTCTATTTATTAAGGTAACACAGGTCAGAGAGGCTCCAGTGCCTCTTCCGCAATTATCAGCAGATGTACCCACGCTAAGTAAAACTGACCCAATGTGATAGGAAGCTGATTAGATTATAACCATCATTATAGAGGTGTGTGTTAGTTAATGTAAGTGTGTGCGTTCATGTGCAAACGTATATATAGTTAATTGGATAATTCATATCCTGCAAGACTCCTAAAGACGTCATGAGATAATGACCTTTCGACATCTGGAACATACATGTTGCTCTGATGTTGCTGCGTCCATTTGGAGAACATGGTGCTTAGGGAACATGAGTGTGTGCTCATTGCAGAGGCTATATATGCTGTGTGATTGTTGCTACTGGTTGGGGGACATTTCCGCGATTGGCTGCTGTGGCAGAAGGTGAAATGTTTTCCCCATTATTGTTTGTTTGTTTGCGCAACTGAATAATAATGATTAATCTCAACCATGTCTGTGTTTGTGTTTTATTGATTCCTCTCTGTTTCATTCTTTCCTGTTGTGAGGGTTGATTTGCCACAACAGAATATTCAGGAACATTTATATTACGGACCAACAGACCTTCTCTCTGAGACATGCAAAGAGAACATTTGAAAAGTACTGGAGAAACTGGAAATGTTATGTGAAACCAAACTGATGTCCCATCACCTACTTGCTGTGTTTTGAAACTGTGCTTTACTTAACCCGGCACTAAGACCAAATAAACCGAACTTCATCTGTAAACTGAAGAGTCATAGACCCAGGACAGAGACTTGAAAAAGTTAGTTAGTTAGATGCTGCGTATCACAGTGCACTGAGATTTGTGACAAACTGTAAAGCATTAACCCATCACTGTACCCTGTATGCAAGGGCTGGTCTGCCTTCACTAACTGTACGGAGGCTCAGTCACTGGTACATTTTTATATATAAAGCCATGTTAGGGAAACTTCCACCCTACATCTGCTCCCTGATCTCACGGTGAATTGTAAGTGGCTACTGCCTGAGATCGCATGCTGTGGTTTTATTAAATGTGCCAACTGCTAGGACTGTCTTAGGGAAGGCATTTAGATGCGCAGCTCCACTGTCCTGGAATAGTCTGCAATTAAAATGGAAACTGAGCAATCTGGTGCCACTCAATGTTTTTAAAGCTCGGTTGGATGCTACTGAATCGGAAGCTGTTGGTACCTGTGCATGTGGATAGTTATGTAAATTGTAATCCCTGTAATGATGCTGTATGATGTCCTTTTGTTGTTCTGTTTATGTTTTTAATGTTTCATGTGGAACCTACTTGAGCAGGTCTCCCTTGAAAAAGAGATCAATGATCTCAATGGGATACAACCTGGATAAATAAAGGTTTGAAATGAAAAAGGTCAGTCATGGACAAAGTGGCCCAAAGACCCTGAGAGTGTGATGTAACCCTGCCTGTGTTAGCCCTACACGCCTGGATATGTATACACGTATGCACATACTGTTGGAGCATCTAAGGAGATACATGTGTATACGATTGTATAGATGTGTGTGCAAGTACGTATTGTATGTATGTATATTTTCTACAACATACTTTTTACCCAGGATGACCCTGTCTGCTTTCATATTGTTTGTCTGTTCATTATTGTAACAAAAACGAAAAAACAGTTTTCAAAAAAAGAAATAGAATGGAATAAAATATGTGCA